TTCCTTGTTTCAATAGTAAATGTTTCAGTGTTCAATTTTTTAAATTTTGTAATTTAGAAATTTTTCTATTTTTCTATTTTCCAATTTCTAGATTTTTTAATTTTCCGTTCCCTCAATTTTTCCATTTGTACTTTTTCGATTTTTCAATTTGAAATTTTTATATCTTTTGATTTTGTTTTCCAATTTTTCCGTTCAGATTTCTTAAATTATTTCATTTGCATTTTTTCGATTTTACAGTTTTTAAATATTTTAATTTTACATTTTTAATTTGTCCATTTTTTGTTTTTTTATTTCGGTCTTTGAATTTTTGGTTTTTGCAATATGTAACAGTTTTACAATTTTTCAATTTTTTAATTATTCCATTTTAATACTTTTTCATTTATTACGATTTTTAAATTTTTTTAATTTCTTGGTATTAAATTTTTCAATTTTTCGATTTTTCAGTGTTACAGCTTATCGACTTTACAATTTTGACGATTCTAAATTATTTCGCTTTTACAATATTTCGATTTTTCAATTTTTCGTTTCTTCAATTTTTCGATTTGCAATTTTTCAGTTTTTATTTTTTTGTTTCTTCGAGTTTTCATTTTTAATTTTTTCGGTTTTTCAATGTTCCAATTTTTTGTTTTAATTTTTTTTTTTCATGGTTTTTTCAATTCCTGTGCTTTTCGGTGTTCTGGGTTTATAATTGTTCTTTTTTTCAATGTGAAATTTTTCAGTTTTTGGATTTTCCAATTTTTCGATTTGCAGTTTTTCAGTTTTCAATTTTTCGGTTTTTCAACTTTTAGATTTTTTAATTTTAAATATGTAAGATAGTAATTTTTATTTTTTCAATTTTTTTCCTGTTTTAGTTTTTTGATTTTTAATTTTTGAATTTGTCGATATTAAACTAAATTGTATAATTGAAAAATTAATTATACGTTTCTGGGTTTTCCACTTTTTTGGTTCAACTCGATTCAAATTTTTTTTAATTTTTAGTTTTTCAATGTTTCAATTTTTCGTTTCTTCAGTTCTTCGATTTGAAATTTTTCCATTTTGACAATTGAAAAATTTGGAAGTCGAAAAATCGAAAAATTGACGTTGAAAAACGAAAAATTATGAAACCGAAACATTGAAAAATGAAGAAAATGAAAAACGAAAAAGTAAAAATGAAGACTTTGAAAAATTTAAAAACTGAAAATCAAGAACTTGAAAAATTGAAGAAATGAAAAATTGAAAAATCGAAAAATTAAAAACTGAGAAACTAAAAATTGAAAAACTAAAAATTGTAACATCAAAATTGAAAATTTGTAAATTGAAAACTTGAGGAAACGAAAAATTGAATAAATTGAAGTGGAAAAAACGAAAAATTATGAAACCGAAACATTGAGAAATGGAAAAATTGAAAGATAAAAAAACAAAAACGAAAAATTGTAAGATGAAAATTTGCAAGTCGGAAAATTGAAGAAAGGAATAATTGAAAATTTGGAAGTCGAGAAATTGAAAAATTAAAAAATGAAAGTTGAAAAACAAAAAATTACGAAACGAATCAGAGAAATCGAAAAATAGAAAAAATAAATAAAATGAGAAAACGAAAAAATTTTAAACGAAGACTGGAAATCAAGAACTTGAAGAAATGAAAAACTGAAAAATCGAAAAATTACAAAATTGAAAATTTGTAAATCGAAAAATTGAAGAAACGAAAAATTGAAAATTTGTACGTCGAGAAAATGAAAAATTAAAACATTAAGGATGAAAAACGGAAAATTATGGAACGAAACAGAGAAATCGAAAAATAGAAAAAATAAAGAAAATGAAAAAACGAAAAGTATAAAATGGAGACTTTGAAAAATCGAAAAACTGGAAATCAAGAACTCGGAAAATCGTATAATTGCTAAATCCAAAAATTGCAAAATTGAAAAATTTAAACATGGAAAATCGAGGAATTGAAAAATCAAAGATTGAAAATTTGAAAAATTGAATGAGTGAAAAATTATAGAATCGAAATAAGTATTGACAAAATAAATAAAAGGAAAAAACGAAAAATTAAAACATCAAATAGAGAAAATCTGAATAAAAAATCGGAAAAATGAAAAATTGAGGAAACGAAAAATTGAATAAATTGAAGTGGAAAAAACGAAAAATTATGAAACCGAAACATTGAGAAATGGAAAAATTGTAAGATGAAAATTTGCAAGTCAGAAAATTGAAGAAACGAATAATTGAAAATTTGTAAGTCGAGAAATTAAAAAATTACAGTTGAAAAACAAAAAATTACGAAACGGATCATAGAGAAATCGAAAAATGGGAAAAATAAAGAAAATGAGAAAAAGAAAAAATTTTAAATGACGACTTTGAAAAATCTAAAGACTGGAAATCAAGAACTTGAAAATTTGTTGTAACAAGAAATTGAAAAATCGAAAAATTAAAAACTGGAAAACTGAAAAATTGCCAAATTGAAATATTTCGAAGTCGAGAAATGGAAAAATTTCAAAATCAAAGTACTAAAACGAAAAATTATGAAACGAAACAGAGAAATAGAAAAATAGAGAAAATAAAGGAAATGAAAAAAAGAAAAAGTATAAAATAAAGACTGAAAAATCGAAAAATTAAAAACTGAGAAACTGAAAAATCGAAAAACGAAAAACTGTAATATCAAAAATATACAAAATTGAAAATTTGCAAGTCGAAAAATTGAAAATTTGGAAGTTGAGAAATTAAAAAATTAAGGAAAAAACGAAACAGAGAAATCGAAAAATAGAGAAAATGAAAAAAGAAAAAAGTAAAAAATGAAGACTTTGAAAAATCTAAAAACTGGAGATCAAGAACTTGAACATTTGAAGAAACGAAACATTGAAAAATCGAAAAATTAAAAACTGTGAAACTGAAAAATTGTAATATCAAAAAATTGCAAAATTGAAAAATTTGGAATTAGAGAAATAGAAAAATTTTAAAAATTAAAATTGAAAAACCGAAACTTCGAGAAATCAAAATATTGAAAAAATAAAGAAAACGAAAAAACCAAAAAGTATAAAATGAAAACTTTCAAAACTAAAAATTGAAAGTTAAGAACTTGCAAAACTGAACAAACAAAAAATTGAAAAATGGAAAAAAATGAGAAACCGAAAAGTCACAAAATGAAAAAATGTAGATAAAATTGAAAAATTGCAAATAGAAAATTGAACAAACAACGACAAGAAATTGAGAACTTTTAAAGTCGGGAAATTGAAATATTGAAACAATGAAAAATTATAAAACCGAAACATCGAATACAAAAATTGAGAAAATAAAAAAAAATAAACATCGAAAAATTGTGATATCAAAAAATCGAGAATATGAAAAATTAAAAAATTAAAGTTGAAGAACGAAAAATTATGAAACGAAACATTGAGAAATCGAAAAATAGAAAAAATAATAAAATGAGAAAACGAAAAAGTATAAAAACAAGAACTTGAAAATATGAAGAAATGAAAAATGAAAAATCAAAAAATTAAAAACTGAGAAACTGAAAAATTTGGAAATCGAAACATTGAAACATTTTAAAAATCAAAGTTCAAAGAAAATTTGGAAGTCGAGAAATTAAAAAATTAAAGTTCAAAAACGAAAAACTGTGAAACGAAACATTGAGAAATCGAAAAATAGAGATAAAAAAGAAAATGAAAAAGAAAAAAGGAAAAAATCAAGACTGAAAAATCTAAAAACTGGAAATCAAAAACTTGAAAATTTGAACAAACGAAAAATTGAAAAGTTGAAAATTTAAAAACTGGCAAACTGAAAAATTGAAAAATGAAAAATTGTAATACCTACCGAAAAATTGCAAAAATGAAAAACTTGGAAGTCGAGAAATTGCAAAATTAAAAAATTAAGGTTGAAAAACGAAAAATTATTAAACGAAACATTGAGAAATCAAAAGATTGAAAAAATAAAGAAAATAAATAAACCAAAAAGTATAAAATGAAAACTTTCAAAACCAAAAATAGCAAGTCAAGAATTTGAAAACTGAACAAACGAAAAATTGAAAAATGGAAAAAAATTGAGAAACTGAAAAGTCAAAAAATGAAAAATTGTAAAATCGAAAAAAATTGAAAAATTAAATTAAATTTGAAAAACGAAAAAGTATGAAACGAAACATTGAGAAATCGAAAAATAGAAAAAATAATAAAATGAGAAAACGAAAAAGTACAAAATCAAGAACTTGAAAATATGAAGAAACGAAAAATGAAAAATCAAAAAATTAAAAACTAAGAGACTGAAAAATTCAAAAATGAACATTGTAGTATTAAAAAATTGCAAAATTGAAAAATTTGGAAATCGAAACATTGAAATATTTTAAAAATTAAAAAGCCGAAACTTCGAGAAATTAAAAATTAAAGAAAATAAAAAACCAAAAAGTATAAAATTAAAACTTTAAAAACTAAAAATTACGTCATCAAGTTTTGGAAGGGCATAAAAGAATAAATTTTGGTTGCGGTAAAATTAAAACGTTAGCTTACACTTAGCAAGTAAAAACAACATTTGTTACCATTAACGTGGAATTACTCTTAACAATGTGTACGGTGTGAGTAAGTACACGCTGTTATCAAGCCCAGGGTCATGTGATATTTTTTGAATAAACAGTGATAACCACAATGTTGAGATATCATTAAGCCGATCTAAATTAGCGGAAGAGTTACCGATATCTCCTCTCTGGTACGAGAGCTGGTTTTCGGGGTGCGCGGTTGTGTAAGGGTTACTTAAGTGCGATCTTGAAGGGATGACGGGTGCGAGTACTTCTGTGACTGATTTATCGGTGTCTCAGGTCTACAAGGTTAGTTACAAATGTAGTTCAAATTCGGGTTAAAGTGGCACATACACGGTTGGATTTTTTGGAAGGTGTAGAGGCCACGACCTTGGTGATTGTGAATGTGCACCTTAACGGTGTAATTTTTGTTGACATAAAGTTCCGTCTTAGTTTCTTAGTTTAGCCCCCTATTATCGCGTTTCTTGCGAATATTTATACTGACTGTGTTTTCCTGTTGCAGCCCCCCGAGAATGAGCTCCAGAAGGGCGAACGTGTGATGTCTGAACACCAACTCCGCGTGCAGCGCTCCCTCCAGAAGCTCACAGTCCCCGAATGGTACAAGCAGGCCCAGGTGCCCCGCGAAGGCTTCATCCTCAAGAAGCCTCGCGAGCCCCGCTGGACCGGCACCGGCAGCAAGACCACCTCCCTCAGCAGCCTCGGCTCCAGCAACCCGTCCCCCATCATCCTCAGCCCCACGTCGTGCGCGCAGCCCTTCGTGCGGTGGTCCACCTCCAAGCTCAACTCCACGGCGTCGTCGCCGTGCGCCTCCACCCGCAGCAGCTTCAACACGCGCCAGCCCAACGGCTCCATCTCGCCGTCGTCGGTGCGCAGCAGCTTCAGCTACCGCCAGCCCTACCTCGGCTGGCGGTCGCAGGAGCGGCTCAACAAGCCGCGGACGCCCGCCGAGCGCCTGGCCAACAGCCTGCTGACGCAGGCCGGCCAGCCGCAGAGCGTGCAGGCCAGCCCCGAGATCCAGACGTCCATCAAGGAGGTGACGTCGGCCATCGCCGACTACGTGCGCGGCCTCAAGCCGGACAGCGACGAGAGCCAGCGTAGCCGCTCGGCGAGCCCGCGGGGCAGCCAGAAGCTGTGCTGGCTGGAGAGCAGCTTCGTGGGGATCCGGCCGCTGGACTCGCCCCAGACGCCCGTCACGCTGACGGAGAGCCAGCCCACGCCGCCGACGAGTCTGCGGCTGGACCTGCAAACGCACAATGGTGAGTCTGTACACGCTTAGGACGTCTAGACTGTGGCGATGCTCTCTATGTGGTGCTATCTAGCGATTGTCACCTCCCAGTTTACGGAATGGGTAAATTGTGATGGTTGTTGACGCTTGGTTCGGACGGGTCGGTGCTAGGCCGGCCGAGCAATATTAGCACTAATTCGTGTAAATAATGTTCATATTTACTTAACACGTGCCTTAGATTTTTCAGCCACGAGTTTGTTACGGTTATTGAGCTGAAAGGTCTACCGTTTTATTCATTTTAAGTGTCTGTTGTTTTCCATTGTTTTGTTTCTTGTGTACTTTAATTTAGTTTGACTCATTTAGTATTATATAGTCTATAACTACTATTGTCATTTATATTTAATTTTCTTTGGATTTTATTATGTGTACCACGTTTTTATTTAGGTACGTTTTGTCACATATATTCTATGTATTGTGTTGTACTCTTCAAACGAATGTCGTCAAATAAATTATTTTATTTTAAATATTTTTTTTCTTTTTTTATTTTTATTATTTTACTACGTGTCTGTGTTTCTTGCGGTAAGTGAATGTGTCTTTTTGTGGCGTTTGCACGTGCATGCTTAACCTTCTCTTTCGCTAATAACAAAAAAGCCAAAAGTAATTCTTGAGGGAATCAGTTCTTTATAGTCGTGTCATACAAAGTGACCACTTTTTCCACCAGAATTTTATATGTATTTGTTGCAGATAGCCTAAAACTGACCTTTCGATACTCGGGCAAAATAGTTTTTTTCATTTATCTCCCTAACCACGAGTTTGACGAAAAAATCGTACCAAGCATTTTCATATACAATCTGAAGATCTACAACTTTTATTAAAAACTTTTTGGCGTAACATTAATAATAAAAAAGTTATGACCTAAACAATTTAAAAATTTGGGGACGAAAATCCCAACGCGAGATAACCCGGATTTTCGTTCCCACAAAGCGAAGAAAATGTGTAAAAGTGATCAAAACACAAACCTAAAGGGTTGACTCTCAAGATCGACCGTTTGGAAGTGGGGATGTCGCAGACATACTATGAGCCAAAACCGCGTTTTCGGGACTCGGATAAAATTATTTTTGGCATTTATCTTCGTAACCACAAGTCTAACGAAAAAACTCTAAGAAGCATTTTTGTAGATAATTTGATTACCTACAACTTTGATTCAACACTTTTCAGTGTAACATTAATAATAAACAAGTTATGACCTAAATATTTAAAAAATTTGGGGACGAATTGAGCCAATTCCTTCACCAACTGTGTTATGAGCTGATCATGTTGCAATACCTGAAGTGATTACCGTCAAACTTAGCTAAAAGCCATCTCTGTTAAACCAGGTTTCCAACCAAAAAATCTCTTTGAAATCGGTTCATCCGTTTAGGGGTTACCGATGATACAGAAAGACAGATAAAAACTTCAAACTTAAAATAGACAAGGGTTTCACATCCTTATTTTCAAGATGGAGCCCAAACGACAACATCCAGTCCCGAAAAGTCAGTTTAACCCTTGATTATACTCAAAAAACCTGTTTAACCAGCGCTGGAAAAACATATCAGAATTTCCAGATTGAAAAAAACTGGGTTTGAAGTAGTTTCAAAGAATCTCGAGGACCTCTTGTGTCGGATTGTTGAAGTCATCAGAATTTTGAAACTTACTTTCGCATATAATTTTTAGAACATTTAACATTTCAAATTTGGACTTTGGGCTTCTCCGCAGAATATTACTTTTTTCGTATCACTTAAACTTTTCCAGATGTTTACAATTTTGGAAGTCAACTTACAACAAAAAAATTAAAAAACTAAAATTTTAAATTTTAAACATTCAATTTCGTAATTTTTGAAAAATTTTTGTAATAATTTTTAATGTTTTAGAAATGACAAAATTTTTCAGTTCTTTTACAATTTTTCAAATGTTTATATTCTTTGGAAGTCCAACTTCCAATATTTAGAAATTTTTTAGAACTTCAAAAATTACAAAATCATTCCCAAAGTTTTGAAATTTTTCGAAAATTTGACAAAGTTTGCAAATTTTTGGACTTCAAGTTTCGCAATTTTCGTAAATATTTCAAAACAGATTCAAAACTACTCTTATCGTCTGAAACCGTCAGAATTTTGGGACTTACTGCTTCTCTCCAGATATGTTTTTAAACTCTTAAAATTTTCCAAATATTTACAGTTTTTGGAAGTCCAAGTTACAACATTTAGAAATTTTTTAAAACTTCAAAAACAACAAATCTGAGTTAAGGAATCTCGGGGACCTCTTGAGTCTATTTGTTGAAGTCATCAGAAATTTGGAACTTACTTTCGCATATAATTTTTACAACATTTAACATTTCAAATTTAGACTTCGAGCTTCTCCCCAGAATATTACATTTTTTCGTATCACTTAAACTTCTCCAAATGTTTACAATTTTGGAATTCAACTTAGAACAAAAAAATTAAAAAACGAAAATTTTAAATTTTAAACATTCAATTCTGCAATTTTTGAAAAAGTTCTGTAATAATTTTTAATGTTTTAGAAATGACAAAATTTTTCAATTCTTTTACAATTTTTGGACTTCACATTTCCAAAATTTAAAAACCTGTCGCAATTTTCATAATCGATTCAAAAATAAATTCAGAATTTATTTTTTCGTATGAAACCATGAGAATTTTGAAACTTTTTCCGAATATAATTTTTTGGAGTAGTTATTTAACATTTTATGTATCATTTTTTAGCTTCTTGAAATGTTTCAAATGTTTACAATTTTGGAAGTCCAACGTACAAAATTTCGAACTTTTTTAGAACTTTAAAAATTACAAACTTGAAAGTTTACAATTTTCGAAAGTTCTGTGCTTTAGGAACAACAACTTGACAAATTTTTTACAATTTTTGGTCTTCAAGTTTCCAATTTTTCCAATGTTAACTAAGAAAACTGAAATTGAAAATGAACTTTTTCGGTCTAAAATTACAATAATTTTTAGACATATTTCTGCATATAGTTTTTTATAGTTTTTAACGTTTCACATTTGGACTTACGGCATCCCCTTGGAACATCATACATTTTTCCGGGCTTCTTAAAATTTACAAAATTTTTATAATTTTGAAGTTGACAATTTTCCCATCATTCCTAAAATTTTGAAACTTTCAAGTGTTTTACAAATAACAAAATTCAAAATATATCGTAATTTTCGTAAATGTTTCATGTTTCATCCAGCAGAATTTTATCGACTTCCTCACGTACATAATTTTTCCCTTATTTTCGGTAGTATGAAGTGTATTTTATATCTTTGGACTTGCGGCTTCTCTCCAGATAATTATAACATTATTTCAAACATCTTCAAATTTTTCAAATGTTTACAATCTGTGGAAGTCCAACTTCCAATATTTAGAAATTTTGTAGAACTTTTTTGAAGTTTTTCCAATATTTGACAAGGTTTGCAAATTTTGGACTTCAAGTTTCGCAATTTTCGTAAATATTTCAAAACAAATTCAAAACTACTCTTATCGTCTGAAACCGTCAGAATTTTGGGGCTTACTGCTTCTCTCCAGACTTCTTAAAATTTTTCAAATATTTACGATTTTTGGAAGTCCAAGTTACAATATTTAGAAATTTTTTAAAACTTCCAAAACAAAAAACCTGAGTTAAAGAATCTCGAGGAACTCTTGTGTCTGATTTTTGAAGTAGTTTGAAAGAATCTCGGGGGCCTCTTGTGTCTGATTGTTGGAAGTCATCAGAAATTTGGAACTTACTTTCGCATATAATTTTTAGAACATTTAACATTTCAAATTTGGACTTCGAGCTTCTCCCCAGAATATTACATTTTTTCGTATCACTTAAACTTTTCCAGATATTTACAATTTTGAAAGTCAACTTACAACAAAAAAATTAAAAAACGAAAATTTTAAATTTTAAACATTCAATTCTGTAATTTTTGAAAAAGTTTTGTAATAATTTTTAATGTTTTAGAAATGACAAAATTTTTCAATTTTTACAATTTTTGGACTTCACATTTCCAAAATTTAAAAACCTGTCGCAATTTTCATAATCGATTCAAAAATAAATTCAGAATTTATTTTTTTCGTATGAAACCATGAGAATTTTGAAACTTTTTCCGAATATAATTTTTTGGAGTAGTCATTTAACATTTTATGTATCATTTTTTAGCTTCTTGAAATGTTTCAAATGTTTACAATTTTGGAAGTCCAACGTACAAAATTTCGAACTTTTTTAGAACTTTAAAAATTACAAACTTGAAAATTTACAATTTTCGAAACTTCTGTGCTTTAGGAACAACAAGTTGACAAATTTTTTACAATTTTTGGTCTTCTTCTTCTGCATATAGTTTTTTATAGTTTTTAACGTTTCACATTTGGACTTACGGCATCCCCTTGGAACATCATACATTTTTCCGGGCTTCTTAAAATTTACAAAATTTTTATAATTTTGAAGTTGACAATTTTCCCATCGTTCCTAAAATTTGGAACTTCCAAGTGTTTTACAAATAACAAAATTCAAAACATATCGCAATTTTCGTAAATGTTTCATGACTAACCAGCAGAATTTGGCGACTTCCCCTCGTACATAATTTTTCCCTTATTTTCGGTAGTATGAAGTGTATTTTATATCTTTGGACTTGCGGCTTCTCTCCAGATAATTATAACATTATTTCAAACATCTTCAAATTTTCCAAATGTTTACAATCTTTGGAAGTCCAACTTGCAATATTTAGAAATTTTTTAGAACTTCAAAAATAACAAAATCGTTCCCAAAATTTTGAAGTTTTTCCAATATTTCACAAAGTTTGCAAATTTTGGACTTCAAGTTTCGGAATGTTCGCAAATATTTCAAAACAAATTCAAAACTATAATACTCTTATCGTCTGAAACCGTCTGAATTTTGGGACTTACTACTTCTCTCCAGATATGTTTTCAAACTTCTTAAAAATTTTCAAATATTATCAGTTTTTGAAAGTCCAAGTTACAATATTTAAAATTTTTTTAAAACTTCAGAAACAACAAATTTGAGTTAAAGAATCTCGGGGAACTCCTGTGTCTAATTGTTGAAGTCATCAGAACTTTGGAACTTACTGTCGCATATAATTTTTAGAACATTTAACATTTTAAATTTGGACTTCGGGCTTCTCCCCAGAATATTACTTTTTTTCGTATCACTTAAACTTTTCCAGATGTTTACAATTTTGGAAGTCAACTTACAACAAAAAAATTAAAAAACTAAAATTTTAAATTTTAAACATTCAATTTCGTAATTTTTGAAAAATTTTTGTAATAATTTTTAATGTTTTAGAAATGACAAAATTCTTCAATTCTTTTACAATTTTTGGACTTCACGTTTCCAAAATTTAAAAATCTGTCGCAATTTTCATAATCGATTCGAAAATAAAATTCGAAATTGTTTTTTTCGTATGAAAGCATGAGAATTTTGGAACTTTTTCCGAATATAATTTTTTGGAGTATTTCACATATTATATATTATTTTTTAGCTTCTTGAAATGTTTCAAATGTTTACAACTTTGGAGGTCCAACGTACAAAATTTCGAACTTTTTTAGAACTTCAAAAATTACAAACTTGACAATTTACAATTTTCCAAACTTCTGTGCTTTAGGAATAACAAGTTGACAATTTTTTTACAATTTTTGGACTTCAAGTTTCCAATTTTTCCAATGTTAATTAATAAAACTAAAATTGAAAATATTATTTCAAAAATTTTTAAAACTTCAAAGATTACAAAATTGAAAGTTGACAATTTTCCCATCATTCCTAAAATTTGGAACTTCCAAGTGTTTTACAAATAACAAAATTCATAAGACATATCGCAATTTTCGTAAATGTTTCATGACTAACCAGCAGAATTTGGCGACTTCCTCCAGTATATAATTTTTCCCTTATTTTCGGTAGTTACATTATTTCAAACATTTTCAAATTTTTCTAATGTTTACAATCTTTGGAAGTCCAACTTCCAATATTTAGAAATTTTTTAGAACTTCTTTGAAGTTTTTCCAATATTTGACAAAGTTTGCAATTTTTGGACTTCAAGTTTCGCAATTGTGGCGGGAAAGGGCGCAACGTGATTCGTTTAATTCTTGTGTAGAAAAAGCGTTAATTTTGAAAATTGTTTGTTGACTGGCACAAGGAAAAAAAAAGGTGACTAAGAAAATATTGTTTAATTCAAGGTGAAGTGTTATTGGCAACCCAATGTACACCTACATTAGAACTAAACTAAGGTGTATTTTGGGTTGCCGACTTCTAGAACGTCTTAATATATACTTAAGTCAGTTTTATCTTACTGAGTCACTTTGTATGACACAAAATGAAAAAAAATCAGTGCTTCCATACTATATCGCTTTAACTTCAACCCAGTCCTTCTGCTTCTCTTCCAAGAATTCTTTTAGTTCTCTTCTCGCTGTCGATGGCATGCTCAGCGTAACCCATCGGCCTGAAATATTGATAACTCTGTGTATTAGATGTGACTCTGCTGCATACAACAAGCGGGCCAAAGCCTTCCCCCAGCTCAACGACTCTCGAAGACGTATTAGACTCACTGTTGGGCCTTCCATCATCGGATCGAGCCCCTAGCCCCAGTCTCCAAGGTAGGAGACATGTGTAAGTTTCATTCCAGGTCATTTCTACCGAATGCACTTCTCTCTAACTCTAACAGTATTGCAAAAGCTTTAGCGCACGCTTGTCCGCAGCTTCTCTTCGTCCGCTCACGATTGCTCTTTTCTAGCGACGGGGTCAGCTAATAGCAGTCCGAATCACAGCTCGGAGTTCCGAAGACGCTCGGACGGCAGCGAGCAGACCTCCCTCGGGAGCATTTCTCGCCGAGTGAGTTTCCAGTCGTCACCTGTCATCCAGTGCCGGTACTCGCGCTGCGCTCGGGTGGTCTCGGTGTCTAGTCCGGAGGCTGCCAACTTCAAGAACTGTCACAACTGCTCGTACACGTACTGCTCGAGGGCGTGCAGACGGGCGCACTGGGAGAAGCACAGGAAGACGTGTCTGTTTTCGCGGATCGGCACGTTGTGCAGACAGGTTGTTATTTAAGTGGAAGTTTAGTGGGTGGTCTACGTTCATTCGGTGTAATTTAGCTTTGGAATAACACTCTGGATAGTAATCTTGAAGTCTCGAAGTGTTACGAGACTTATAGACCTAAAGCCCCACAGGTTGCCAAAATTTCTCAGGTTTGTAGGTGTTCCAAAGACCAGGTCTTTTGGAACAAAGCATGCCTAGCTTCGTAGAATTTTTGGGTCCGAAGCTATGCGGACCATAGGTTTTATGGAAACTTAGATCTCCTAGGTTTCTTAGTTCTTTAGGTTCCCGAAACCCAAATTTTGTATGTTCGCGGAGTCCAAGGCCTTCAGGTTTCTAGAACTTCGGTAGCCTATTTATCAAGACTAAAACTTTGTCTTTCAGAAGGCGAAGCTCTCAGGTTTCGCAAACTTCGTGTACTTTCCAAAGCCTAGATTCTTCAGGTTTACAAAATTTTTCGGGATTCTAGGCGTTTTGAGCCTTAATGTGCTCCTCGGTTTTGTAAATCTTCAGGTTCTTGGACTGGAGGTTCTAGAACCATTCTTGGTCCATGTCCCTCACCTTCAATGGTCTTTTGAAACCCTACAAATATAGAACACTTAGGTTCACGGACCTTTTGGAAGCATAAATCTTTCACATATCGTCATTTTTTTAGGTTTGTGTAGAATCAGACGCCCAGGTTTTTAAGTTTTTTTGATTTAAGTCTTTTCTCTCTGAAGTTCTTTAGGTTAGTTAGTTTTGTAAGCTTAGAACTTCAGAGATCTAGGTTTATACGGTTTTTAAGCCATTCTTGAACAAAGTTCTCCAGCTCCGTAGGTCTTTTGGAAGCCTAAATCTCCTAGGTTGTCAAAGCTTCTAAGACTTGTGATCTTCGGCTTGGTACGGCCCAAGAACACTCAGGTTCCTAGATTTTTTGGACGCCTAAATGTTCCAAGTACGAAAATTCAACTTTTGTAGGTCTCTCTGAAGCCTAAATCCTTTAGGTTGTCGAAGTTTCTTAGGTTTGGGAGACATTTGGGACTTCCTCGGCCTCGTAGAACTTCAAGTTACAAGTTTGTACGAGTCTGAGGACATTCAGGACCATGGACCTTTCGGGAGCTTACATTTTTTTGAGATTCTTATGTCTTTCAAATGTAAGGCCCAGGTTCTGTGACCTAAGCCTATTAGATTCGTAAATTTAAGGTTTTCAAGTTCGGTAGTCCTGTAAATTTAAAGTTGCTTTTAGAATTCCAGGAGTCTAGATAATTCAAGTTCTTAAGTCACTCTTAATTCCAGTTTTCCAGTTTTGTTGTGTTTATCTCCCAGATTGTTAAAGCTTCAGAAGCTTAAATATCCCAGGTTCTTCAGGTTTCTAAAGTATCCTTGGTTGAAGTTCTTGAACTTTGTAGGTCTTTCTGAAGCCTAAATCGTTTAAGTTCTCGAAGTTTCTCAAGCTTGGGAGACTTCCGGGACTTAAATTCCTCAGCTTCATAGAATTCCAGGTTCCAAAGTTGTGCGAATCTGAAAAGATTTAGATTCATAGACCTTACGGGAGCTTACATTTTTTTAAGTTTCGTAGGTTTCTCAAGTTTAAGTCCCAGGTTATTAAATTTCCGTGACCTAAACTTGATTCGTAAATTTAAGGTTTTAGGTTTCGGTAGTCCTGTAAATTTAAAGTTGCTTTTAGAATTCCAGGAAGTTGGATACTTCAAGTTCTTAGGTCATTCTTAGTTCCAGTTTTCCAGTTTTGTAGGTCTTTCAAAAGCCTAAATCTATCTCCTAGATTGTCAAAGCTTCAGAAGCCTAAATATCCCAGGTTGTCAAAGCTTTTCAGTTTTGTAACTTTTGGAGGTAAAATCCTTCAGCTTGGTTCCTACATTTTTGGACGCCTAAATGTTACAGGTGTCAAAATTTCTTAGGTTTGTGTAGATCGTAAGGTCAGGTTTGTCATTTTTCAATGTAAGGGTTCGTCAGGTTTCTAAAGTATCCTTGGTTGAAGTTCTTCAACTTTGTAGGTCTTTCTGAAGCCTAAATCGTTTAGGTCCTCGAAGTCAAGCTTGGGGGACTTCCGGGACTAAAATTCCTCAGCTTCATAGAATTCCAGGTTCCAAAGTTGTACAAATCTGAAAAGATTTAGATTCATAGACATTTCGGGAGCCTAAACGTTTTTAAGTTTCGTAGGTTTTTCAAGTTTAAGACCCTGGTTGTTAAATTTCCGTGACCTAAATTCGATTCGTAAATTTAAGGTTTTCGGTTTCGGTAGTCCTGTAAATTTAAAGTTGCTTTTAGAATTCCAGAAAGTTGGATACTTCAAATTCTTAGGTCATCCTTAGTTCCAGTTTTCCAGTTTTGTAGGTCTTTCAAAAGCCTAAATCTATCTCCTAGATTGTCAAAGCTTCAGAAGCCTAAATATCCCAGGTTGTCACAGCTTCTCAGATTTGTGACCTTCGGAGTTAAAATCCTTCAGTTTGGCCCAGGTCCAAGAACACCCAGGTTCCTAGACTTTTGGACGCCTGAATTAGGTGTTAAAATTTCTCAGGTTTGGTAGATTGTTAGTTAAGTCAGGTTTGCCATTTTTCAAGGCAAGGGTTCTTCAGGTCTCTAAAGTATTTTTGGTTGCAGTTCTTCAACTTTGTAAGTCTTTCAGACGCCTAAATCGTTCAGGTTGTTGAAGTTTCTTAGGTTTGAGAGACATCCGTGATTAAAATTCCTCAGCTTCATAGAATTCCAGGTTCCAAAGTTGTACGAGTCTAAGAAGATTTAGATTCATCGACCTTTCGGAGCTTACATTTTTTTAAGGTTCTTAGGTTTCTCAAGTCTAAATTTCCGTGAGCTAACCCTATTAGATTCGTAAATTTAAGGTGTTCAACTTCGGTACTCCTGTAAATTCAAATTTTCTGGATTTATAGGTCTTTCAAAAGCCTAAATCTATCTCCCAGGTTGTCAAAGCTCCTCAGATTTGTGACCTTCGGAGTTAAAATCCTTCAGCTTGGTACAGGTCCAAGAACACTCAGGTTCCTAGACTTTTGAGGTCTAAATATTTCAGGTGTCAAAATTTCACAGGTTTGTGCAGGTTGTAAGGCCAGATTGACCATTTTTCAAGGCAAAGTTTGTTCAGGTTTCTAAATTCTCCTTGATCCAAGTTCCCCAAATACTTAGGTCTTTCTGAAGCCTATTAGATTCGTAATTTTAATGTTCAAATTCGATGGTTCTGTAGATTTAAAGTTGCTTTGAGCATTCTGGGGGTCTAGACTCTTCAGGTTCTTAGATCATTCTTAGTTACCATTCTCCGGCTTCATAGGTCTTTCAAAAGCCTAAATCTCTCAGGTTATCAAAGCTTCAAAAGCCTAAATCTCACAGGTTTTTAAAGCTTCTCAGGCTTGTGACCTTCGGAACTTTTTCATCGTGGTACGGGTCCAAGGACACTCAGGTTTCTGTGCTTTTTGAAGACCTAATTGTTTCAAGAGTTAAAATTTCTCAGGTTTGTGCAGATTCTAAGGCCAGTTTTGACATTTTTCAAGGCAAAGTTCCTTCAGGTTTCTAAAAAATCCTTGGTTCAAGTTACTCAACTTCGTAGGTCTTTTTGAAGCCTAAAACTTTGAAGTTTCTCAGGCTTGGGAGACTTCCGGGATTAAAATTCCTCAGCTTCGTAGGATTTCTAGTTCCAGGCTTTCGGGAGCTTAAGTTGTTCAAGTCTAAGGCCCAGGTTGTTAAGTTTCCGTGGTCGAAACCTATTAGATTCGTTCTAGTTCGGTAGTCCTGTAGATTCTTCAAGTTCTTAGGTCAGTCTTAGTTCCAATTCTCCAGGTTCGTAAGCCTTTCAAAAGCCTAAATCTCTCAGGTTGACAAAGCTCAGATTTAACTTCAGAACTAAAATCTTTCAGCTTGGTGCCGGTCCAAGAACACTCAGGTTTCTAGACTTTTTGAACGCCTAGATGTTTCAGGTGTCAAATTTTCTCAGGTTTGTTCAAATTATAAGGCTAGGTTTGCCACTTTTCAAGGCAAGGGTTCTTCAAATTTCCAAAATATCCTTGGTCGAAGGTCTTCAAATTTGTAGGTCTTTCTGAAGCCTAAATCTTTCAGATTTTAGGAATTTCTCAGGCTTGTGAGACTCCTGGAACTAAAATTGCTTAACTTCGTAGAATTTCAAGTTCCACGCCTGCACGAATCCAAGATTATTTAGGTTCATAGAACCTTCGGAACCTAAATGTTTTAAGTTTCGTAGATTTTTCAAGTCTAACGCCCAGGTTGCTAAGTTTCCGTGATCTAAATCTGCCAGATTTGTAATTTTAAGGTTTTTAAAATATCCTTGGTCGAAGTTTTTTAACTTCGTAGGTCTTTTTGAAGTCTAAATCTTTGAAGTTGTCGAAGTTTCTCAGGCTTTCGGGAGCATAAGTTTTTCAAGTCTCAGCCCAGGTTGTTAAGTTTCCGTGGCCTAAACTTATTAGATTCGTAAATCTAAGATGTTCAAGTTTGGTAGTCTTGTAGATTCTTCAAGTTCTTAGGTCAGCCTTGGTTTCGATTCTCCAAGTTCGTAAGCCTTTCAAAAGCCTAAATCTCTCAGGTTGACAAAGCCCAGATTTAACTTCAGAACTAAAATCTTTCAGCTTGGTGCCGGTCCAAGAGCACTCAGGTTTGTAGACTTTTTGGACGCCTAGATGTTTCAGGTGTCAAATTTTCTCAGGTTTGTTCAAATTACAAGGCTAGGTTTACCAATTTTCAAGACAATGGTTCTTCAGGTTTCCAAAGTATCCTTGGTCGAAGGTTTTCAGATTTGTAGGTCTTTCTGAAGACTAAATCTTTCAGATTTTAGGAATTTCTCAGGCTTGTGAGACTCCTGGAACTAAAATTGCTCAACTTCGTAGAATTTCAAGTTCCACGCCTGCACGAATCTAAGATTATTTAGGTTCATAGATCTTTCGGAACCTAAATGTTTTAAGTTTCGTAGATTTTTCAAGTCCTTGGCCTTGGCCCAGGTTGCGAAGTTTTCGTAACCTAAATCTACTAAATTCGTAAATTTAAGGTGTTCAAGTTCGGTAGTTCTGTAGATTTAAGGTTGCTTTGAGAATTGCAGGAATCTAGATTGTTCGAGTTCTTAGGTCCAATTCTCAAGCTTTGTAGATCTTTCAAAAGCCTAAATCTCCCAGGTTGTGAAACCTCCGGAACTAAAATCCTTTAGCTTGGTACAGGTCCAAGACCACTCAAAGACTTTATAAAGACCTAATTGTTTTAAGAGTCAAAAATTTGTCACAAGTTTGTCATTTTCCAAGGCAAAGGTTCTTCAGGTTTCTAAACTATCTTTGGTCCAAGTTCCTCAATTTCTTAGGTCTTTCTGAAGCCTAAATCTTCCAGGTTGTGGAAGTTTTCAGGCTTGTGAGATTTCCGAAACTAAAATTCTAAAAACATTCAGCGTTATGGACCTTCAGGAGTCTAAATGTTTGAAGCTTCGTAGGTCTAAGGCCAGGTTTCCAAGTTTCAGTGACCTAGGTTCATTAGTTAAGGTGTTCGAGTTCGGTAGTCTCGTAGACTTAGAATTGTAAGTTCTTTAGAGTCACAGTTCATCTTTCAAGTGGCTTTTTTGGGGCTTAGGTTCGTGTGATTTCCAAAGCTAAAGTTCTTCGTCCTTCTCATTCCCATAGACCACGCGGGCCCTAAGCCCTTCAAGTTCGTGATCCTTTCGGAAGCCTAACTCTCTCATGTCCCCCAAGTTCCTCAAGTTCGTGGACCTTCCGGAACCCAAATTGTTCAGGTTCGTTGGACTTCCTGAGTGAAATACTTTGGTTATTTGTTGAAAACTGATCAGAGTGTTATTTTAGCCACCTGGCGACGTACCAAGGTAGTTTTCGTTCATTAATAACCCAGTAAAATAGTGAATGCGTCCGACCAGGTGGAACGACTTATGAGTCCAAGTTGTACGAAAACACAATAATCGACCAAAGTGAGTGTAATTCTAACCCCGTCCCCAGGTCATAGCAGCCATCAAGGAGGAAAAGGAGACCCTCCACCACCTCTCTCTCATCGCCCGACGCGGCTACCTCTCCCAGGGCCCCGGGGCGGTGAAGTGCTTCTTCCCCTGCCCCGAGAACGCCGAGAAGTTCCTCGACGGCGGCCTCAGCGAGCTCGGCGAGCTCACGTACGTGCGCTGGCCCGACCTGCTGCCGTCCGAGATGGGCCCCCAGCTGTACTCCGAGCTGGTGGCCATGTGCAAGGGCTACAACCCCGACAGCAAGCTGGTGCTGTACGTGTCCGTGTGCGTCGTGTCCGAGACTCCCGCCAGCGGCGCCGTCAAGTGGGAGCGCCAGCTGGTGTCCCGTTGTGCCAAAATGCGGCTCAGCAGAGACATTTGCGTGCCCGAGAAGGACCAAGACAATCCCGAGACGCTCATCCTCACCTGCAACTCCCTCGACGCCCTCAGCGAGGACAGGGTGAAGGAGCTGAAGGAGATGAGCATCAACAACGTGCAGAAGCAGCTGCGGCTGCGGGGGGTGTCGCTGCGCCGGCAGCACCCCGTCATCTTCAAGCAGCTGTGCGCGTACGCGAACGGCAGCTGCGACAAGTTCACCCCCATCACGGTCTACCCGAAGGACGTCAACACGGGCAAGAGCTTCATGTGCATCATCATGCTGGAGGCCGACCCCGACAGCCTGAGACAGGTGGAGTCGGCCGGAGTGAAAGTCAGGACTGTGGATGTGCTGTGCGCCGATTGAAACTCGTGTTACCCTATCCTGTGATTTATCGTAGCTTGTTGTTATTCTGCAAATTTTAACAAATCCATGTTGATATCTATGATGTTGCTTTTAATATTATGTTTTTATCGAGATTTGTCTCAAATCGTGCTTCGTGAATATGAGAATCTGTGAGATTTTAGACTTCGTTTTAGGGTACGTGCCTTTGAAAGCCTACTGTACTAAATTTTGCACTGACGGACACATATCGGGTGCCGGGACGTACCTACCTGTTGCAGGATTGATATTCTAAATTTTTTTTACTCGTCGTGTCTGACCCGGTTTTTTTTCTCTCGTCACACCAATTGGAAGCAATAAATGTTACTGGAAGAAGATGGAAGTTTAGTATTTTATTCCTACATCTTTTTGTCGTTCGTTCATTATTATTAGGCATATTATCCGATTGTAAAAATTGTTAAATTAAATTATCATCAAACTCTTACTGTATTTTTATTGATATTTCATCTACTACGATACTACGAAGACATGTTGTACCCCTAAAAGAAACTTCACGCACAACTTATTAGATGCTGTTTGATAACTAACAAAACGATGCTATTTTAAACTTTTTTACTCTGTATTATCATTATCAATCCACTAAAATTTTTTAGAAGTCTTCAGACTCTTATTAGAACTTCTAGCGCTTCAGTTTCCTAAATTCCGAAATTATCCAGTTTCTCAGGTTTATAGATCTTCCAGAAGCCTGAATCTTGAAAGTTCCTTAAGGTTTTCAATTAAGTGGATCTTTTGATACTCTAAATTTCGAAAACTTGTCACGTTATGGGATCATTCGGGATTGGTAAATGGAAAATTAAATGGCCAAAGTCTCGGAAGCCTAAATTTCTTAAATTTCTCATGGTCTTCAGGTTCGTGGCGTTTCTAAGTAACGTCAAATCCATGAGGCTTCTGATTTTAGAAGCTTACAGACTCATATTAGAATTTCTGGCGATTCAGTTTCTTAGATTCCAAGATTATCCAGTTTCTCAAGTTTATAGATCTTCCAGAAGACTGAATCATGCAAGTTCCTTAAGGTTTTCAGTTACTTAGATCTCCTGATATTCTAAATGTCGAAATCATTTTTTAGATGCTTCAGCTCCATGAGACTTCTAAATTTTAGAAGTCTTCAAACTCTCATTAGAATTTCTAGCGCTCCAGTCTCCTAAATTCCGAAATATCCAGTTTCTCAGGTTTATAGATCTTCCTGAAGACTGAATCTTGCAACTTCTTTAAAGTTTTCAGTTCCGTGGATCTTTTGATTTTCTAAATTTCGAAATCAATAGATCTTGTTAGGTTGCGAGATCATCCGGGATTGCAAAATGGAAAATTAATTGGCCAAAGCCTCGGAAGCCTTAAATTTCTTAGATTTCTTATGGTCTTCAGTTCATTGTGTTTTTAAGACGCTTCAACTTCATGAGTGTTCTGAACTTAATCTGATTGTAACTATAAAATTTCTGGCGCTTAAATTACCTAAATTCCAAATTTATTCAGCTTCGTAGATCTTTCAGAAGCCTAAGTTTTATAAATTGCCTTATGATGTTCCTATGTTCCCAAATTTTTCAAATTTCCTTGGGTTTGTTGAGTTTCTGGAGCCAAAATCTCCCAAATTTGGGTCCAAAATTCTGCACTTTTGAAAGAAGTATTCGTAGATACGTAAGACAGTTTGCGGAAATTTACATCATGGAGTTCCTTAAGGTTGTTTTTCTAGGCAATCCGAAGCCTAAGTTAGAAATGTTTCAGCTTTGTGAGCTCTACGAACTTAACTCGTCTGGAACTTTATGATCTTAAATTTCTTAGGTTGCTAAACCATCTAGAGCCTAGGTTTTACGTGCATGCCTTTCCGAAAATCTAAAAAGTTGAGGCTCCGGAAGATATCCAAGTTCATAGACCTTAAAAAGCTCAGTTCTGTAGTCCTCGGGCGTAAACCTAGCAAACTTCTCTCAGATTCTTACATTTCCTGGGAGGTTTCTAATTCATACAGAGCGTAAAAATTTTAGGCTTCGGAAGATTTCCAAGTTTATGGACCTTCCAAAGCTCAGTTTTTCGACTTTCCGACTATCAAACTTTGAATATCCAATTTTTTCTGAGATTTCTGTACTCCCTGGGCCTAAACCTGGCGAATTTCTCTCAGATTCTCAGATTTTTGGCAAAACTAAAACTCTCAGGTTTACCAAAGGTCTTCAGCTTCGTGGATATTCCAACCCTCTGAATTTAGAAGTTTTGGGTTTGTCAGGTTGTTGCGCCATCGGGCATCCAACTCTCTCATACACTTAGGTTTTTGGGAAGTTAAATCGTGAAGATTTCAAAGGTTCTTAGGTTTCCCTAGGTTTGTGAATTTTTCGGAGCTAAAATCTTGTAAATTTGGGTCCAAAATTTTGTAGTTTTGAAAGAAATATTCTTAGATAGTTTGCGAAAGCTCAGATTGTCAGGTTCTTTAAGGTTTTCTTCCTAAGTAATTCGAAGTATAACTTTCAAATTTTCCAACCTTATGAGATTTGCAAACTTAAAATCATCTGGAACTTCATGAGTTTAAATTTCTCAGGTTTCTAAACCATATAGAGTCTAGGATTCAAGTGTATGCCTTTTCGAAAACCTAAAAAATTTGGGCTTCGGAAGATATCCAAGTTCATGGACCTTCCAAAGCTCAGTTTTTCAGCTTCGTAAGACTTCCATCTCTCAGAATTTTGAATATCAACTTTTTCAAAGATTCTATGTTCCTTGGACCTAAACCTGGCAAACTCGTCTCAGATTCTTAGTTTTTTTGGGAAAACTAAACATCTCAAGTTTCTTAAAAATTTTCAGCTTCGTGAATATTCCAAACCTCTTAATTTAGAAATTGTTTGTCAGGTTCCTAGGCCATCCGGGATTCAACTTTCTCATACTCTTAGGCTTCTGGGAAGTTAAATCGTGAAGATTTCCAAGGTTTCTCAGGTTTCCTGAGGTTTGAATATTGTGTAAATTTGGGTTCAAAATTCTGTATTTTCGAAAGACTTATTCTTCGATAATTTGAGGAAGTTCAGATCGTCAGCTTAAGCTTCTTTTTGGCTTTGGTTTGGTTTTGGAATTCAACTCTCTCGTACTCTTAGGCTCTTGGTAGGTTAAATCATGAAGGTTTCCAAGGTTTCCCTGATCTCAAATCTTGTAAATTTGGGTCCACAATTCTCAGTATTGAAAGAAGAATTCTGAGATAGTTTGCGTAAGTTACATCATGAGGTTCTTTATTAAGGCTCTCTTTCTAGGCATTCCAAAGCCTAAATTTCAAATTTTTCAGTTTTGTGAGATTTGCGAATTTGAATCACCTGGAATTTCATGAGCATAAAATACTCAAGTCCCTAACTAAATCACATGGAGCCCAGGTTTCAAGGTTTTGAAACTCTCAAGTTTTTAAGTTTCAGAAGTTACCCAGTTCATAGACCTTCCAAGTGCCAGTTTTTTAGCTTCGTAAATTTTCCATCTGCCTTAAATTTTCTACATTTCTTAAAATGGCGAGCTTTGTGGACCTACCGAGGCAAGATGTCTTCAGATTCTTAAAATTTATATGATTGTTCAAGCTTTAGGGCCCCTCAAGATTCGGTTTTGGATTGTAAAGTTCGCCAGGCTGCTGACAGGTATTTTTAGGTCAGTTAAAACCAATTAACACTCTAGACTTTTGAAGTTTTTAAGTAAAATTTTAAACGGAAATTGTTCCAAAAAGATCTAAAACAAATGACCCAATTTTTCATAAATTAAATCAAAAAGGGCTGTTTTTAAAAAGTATACCACGAGGAAGGTACGTTAAATTAAAAAATCGTCGGAAGCTTTACGAAGTGAAAAAACTGAGCTTTGGAAGGTCCATAAACTTGGAAATCTTCCGAAGCCTAAAATTTTTAGGTTTTCTAAAAGGCATGAACTTGAAGCCTAGGCTTTATATGCTTTGGAAACCTGAGAAATGTAAGTCCAGAAGTTTCAGATGACTTTAAGTTCACAATTCTCATAGTTGAAAAATTTGAAATTTATGCTTCCGGTTGCTTAGAAAGAAAACCTTAAGGAAAAAAGATTTTGGACCAAAATTTACAAGATTTTAGCTGCGAAAAATTCACAAACCCAAGGAAACCTGAGAAACCTTGGAAACCATTACGATTTAACGTCCCAAAAACCTAAGAGTATGAGAGTGTTGGATCCCGAATGGCGTAGTAACCTGACACATCAAAAATTTCTGAATTCAGAGGGCTGGAACATCCACGAAGCTAAAGACCTTTCGGAAACCTGAGAGGTTTAGTTTTCCCAAGAAGCCTAAGAATCTGAGAGAAGTTTGTCAGGTTTAGGCCCAGAGAGTACAGAAATGTTTGAAAAATTGGGGTATTCACAGTTCTGAGAGTCGAAAGTTTTACAAGGCTAAAAAACTGATCTTTGGAAGGTCCATGACCTTGGATATCTGCCGAACCCTAAAATTCTTAGGTTTTTGAAAAGGCATATACTTGAATCCTAGGCTCTATATGGTTTAGAAACCTGAGAAATTTAAACTCATGAAGTTCCAGATGACTTTAAGTTCGCAAATCTCATAAAGTTGAAAAATGTGAAAGTTAGGCTTCGGATCGCTTAGAAAGAGAACCTTAAAGAACCTAATCATTTGCGCTTCCGCAAACTGTCTAATAATCCTTTCAAAACTACAGAATTTTGGACCCAAATTTAGAAGATTAGCTCCGAAAAATTGAAAAACCCAGGAAAGCTGAGAAACCTTTGACACCTTCACGATTCAACTTCTTAAAAGCCCAAGAGTATGAGGGAGTTGCATCCCGTACAATGTAGCAACGTGAAAAACCAAAATTTCTTAATTCAGAGGGTTGGAATATCCACGAAGCTGAAGACCTCTGGGTATCCTCAGAGGTTTAGTTTTCTCAGGAAATCTAAGAATCTGAGAAAAGTTTGCCACGTTTAGGGCCAGGGAGTACAGAAATGTCCGAAAAAATTGAAAATTCAAAGTTCTGAGAGTTGGAAGTTTTACGAAGCTGAAAAACTGAGCTTTGGAAGGTTCATGAACCTAGATATCTTCCGAAGCCTAAACTTTTTAGGTTTTCGAAAAGGCATACACTTGAATCCTAGGCTCTATATGGTTTAGAAACCTGAGAAATTTAAAATCATGAAGTTCCATATGATTTTAAGTTCGCAAATCTCATAAAGTTGAAAAATTTGAAAGTTATACTTCGAATTGCTTAGGAAGAAAACCTTAAGGAACCTGACGACCTGAGCTTTCGCAAACTATCTAAGAATACTTCTTTGAAAGCTACAAAATTTTGGACCCAAATTTACAAGATTTTAGCTCCCAAAAATTTACAAACCTAAGGAAACCTAAGAACCTTGGAAATCTTCACGATTTAACTTCCCAAAAACCTAAGAGTATGAGAAAGTTGGATGCCCGATGGCATAACAACCTGACAAACCTAAAACTTCTAAATTCAGAGGGTTGGAATATCCACGAAGCTATAGACTTTTGGTAAACCTGAGAGTTTTAGTTTTCCCAGAAAATATGAGAACCTGAGAGAAGTTCGCCAGGTTTAGGCCCAGGGAGTACAGTAATGTCAGAAAAAATAGAATATTCAAAGTTCGATAGTCGGAAACTTTACGAAGTCGAAAAATTGAGTTTTACTTAAAAATTTTCAGCTTCATGAATATTCCAACCCTCTTAATTTAGAAATTTTTGGTTTGTCAGGTTACTAGGCCATCCGGGGTTCAACCCTCTCGTACTCTTAGGCTTCCGGGAAGTTAAATCGTGAAGATTTCCAAGGTTTCTCAGGTTTCCTGAGGTTTGAAAATTTTGTAAATTTGGGCTCAAAATTCTGTATTTTTGAAAGACGGATTCTTCGGTAATTTGAGGAAGTTGAGAACGTCAGGTTCCTTAAGGTTCTTTTTCTAAGCAAACGGAAGCCCAATTTTCAAATTTTTCAACTATGAAATTTGCGAACTAAAAATCATCTGGAACTTCTGGGCTTAAATTTCTCAGGTTTTTACACCTAACAATTTTAGGCTTCGGAAGATGTCCAAGTTCATGGACCTTCCAAAACTCAGTTTTTCGACTTCGTAAAACTTCCGACTATCAAACTTTGTATATCCAATTTTTTCTGAGATTTCTGTACTCCCTGGGCCTAAACCTGGCGAACTTCTCTCAGGTTTGTCATATTTTCTGGAAAAACTAAAACTCTCAGTTTTACCAAAGGTCTTCAGCTTAGTGGATATTCCAACTCTCTGAATTTAGAAGTTTTAGGTTTGTCAGGTTGCTACGCCATCCAGGATCCAAGATTTCCAAAGTTCCTCGGGTTTCCAGGAGTTTGCGAATTTTTCTGACTTAACTTGTAAATTTGGGTCCAAAATTCTGTAATTTTAAAAGACGGATTCTTAAATAGTTTGCGGAAGTTCATATGGTCAGGTTCCTTAAGGTTCTCTTTCTAAGCAATCCGAAGCCTAACTTTCAAATTTTTAAACTTTATGAAATTTGCGAACTTAAAATCATCTGGAACTTCTTGAGCTTAAATTTCTCAGGTTTCTAAACCATATGGCGCCTAGGTTTCAAGCTTTTTCGAAAACTTAAAAATTTTAGGCTTCGGAAGATATCCAAGTTCGTGGACTTTCCAAAGCTCAGTTTTTCAGCTTCTTAAGAATTCCAACTCTCAGAATTTTGAATATCAACTATTTCAAAAATTCTATCCTCCTTGGGGCCAAACCTGGCAAACTTCTCCCAGATTCTTAGTTTTTCTGGGAAAACTAAACATCTCAAGTTTCTTAAAAATTTTCAGCTTCATGAATATTCCAACCCTCCTAATTATGAAATTTGCGAACTAAAAATCATCTGGAACTTCTGGGCTTAAATTTCTCAGGTTTCTAAACCTAACAATTTTGGGCTTCGGAAGATATCCAAGTTCACGGACCTTCCAAAGCTCACTTTTTCAGCTTCGTAAAACTTCCGACTCTCTAAACTTTAGGTGCCCAAGTTTTCCAGAGATTTCTGTATTCCCTTGCCTAAACTTGGGAAACATCTCTCAAATTTTTAGGTTTCCTGGGAAAACTATACTCATTAGGTTTCAGCTTCGTTGAAGTTCAACTCTCTCGTTCTCTTAGGCTTTTGGTAGGTTAAATCGTGAAGGTTTCCAAGGTTTCCAATGTTTCTCAAGTTACCTGGGTTTTGTGAATCTTTCTGATCTAAAATCTTGTAAATTTGGGTCCACAATTCTCAGTATTGAAAGAAGAATTCTGAGATAGTTTGCGTAAGTTACATCATGAGGTTCCTTCTCTTTCTAGGCATTCCAAAGCCTAGGTTTCAAATTTTTCAGTTTTGTGAGATTTGCAAACTTGAATCACCTGGAATTTCATGAGCATAAATTTCTCGGGTCCCTAAATCACATGGAGCCCAGGTTCCAAATTTTTAGGTTTCAGAAGATACCCAGTTCATAGACTAAGTTTTTTAGCTAACCAGGCTGCTGACAGGTATTTTTAGGTCAGTTAAAAGCAATTAACACTCTAGACTTTTAGAGTTCTTAAGTAAAATTTTAAACGGAAATTGTTCCAAAAAGATCTAAAACAAATGACCCGCTTTTTCATAAATTAAATCAAAAAGGGCTTTTTTTAAGAAAATATACCCAGAGGAAGGTAAGTTAAATTAAAAAATAATAGTTTTTTTTGTTAAATGACAGTTAAATGGCGGAAATAATAATAACACCAACATTTTTATTCAAGATGGATTGCGTTAGGCCGGTAATACAGACTGCTACACCGCGAAACTCATTTCCGCCGTTAGATGTCGCTCCGGCGCACATCCTGTAACAGCATAACATCAATACCAGCGCCACCTTTCCCCAGAAAAATGTTTGCAGCTTGAGTAACAAGGTCAACAACACTGAATCAGAAAGTGGCCAAGTTTTCCAAAATAGTGATTTCCTCAAAGAAATAATAATGTGATTGTGAGTGGTGAACATTCCCTCCATCACCACCAAGAGTTTGCGGTAAGTCTCATGTCCCGAAAATCGCAAACGCCGCAACTCGACACCGATCCGTTGGCGGTGCGAAAAAAGTGGCTCCGCGGCCCCCATTGAGTGACAACGGACCAGCATTCGCGTGCAGTCGCCGCACATCCTCAGGTTTCGCCGCAATCGAAACGTCGCCCGAATAAACGCCACAGAATTCCGATGTTCTCTCCTGTCATTTGTGATTGTTTACGAGCGGGACGTACATACGAAATTTGCCGCCGAATTCAAACTCGGCCGATTTTCCGCAGCCGCGGAAAATCCGAATTCGGGCGACTTTTCCCCACTAAAGTGCCGTTTTTCCGCAGATTTGCCCCGTTTTGCGTCTTCGGGACGAAAAAGTCGCTTGATGGCCTGCAGGAAACTTTCTATCTGAAGCGCCGGTGCAAGGAGTCGCAGTTTTGATTCAGCAGGTAATTTTCCAACCAAAATATTTAATCAAGCGGGCAAAAAGTCGGTCGAAGGCAGGGTCGGACTCTGAAAAATGGGATGGCTTTGTGTGGGGCGAATGACGTATCGACGCACGGTTGCCATGGCGACTGACGCAAGCATCTGTCTATATGTCAAGAACGAGGTCGCGTGGTCTTTTATTTTGACTGTTCGGTCCGATAACGCTTATTTTTGAGATCGTGGCGACTTGTTGGAGCAGTTGGCGAAATTAAAAAACCCTAAACTCAGACGTCAATTTCAAACATTCTTTTACATTCCAGCTTATTTGATTAGCGATGTGGCTGCCGACGTAATACGATTACGCTACCATTTCGACGAAACCAAGAAAAAATGTAAGACATTGCCATGTCGGGCGCCAATTGTTTCAACGACATGCCAACCGAGATATTCGCAGCGAGCTGCACAACGATCTCGAAAAATGAAAATGAACGGTCCAGTGGAGATTTGATGGAAACAAACGGTGATGTTTATGAACATTTGCCGAACAATAATGTTTGTCCAACGAAGAACTTCACCATCGACTCGGTCATCGGTGACGTCACGTCTCAGCCTGGCCAGCAAGATCAGGGTATGGATGCGGATTTTTTTATTTTTTCGGGGATTCTTTGTCTGATCGGAGCGCGATACGGTGTATTGATAACAGAATTGGAACGACTATAATTTGTTAAAGTATGTCAGGTTTATCTAATAATTGTTCTACTTGACATTGAATGTTCACCAACAACGGTTGCAATTAGTGTAATGGTTGTTCTTGACTTTTATATTTTTGTAGTACCGAGCTAAATGGAGACCAATTTAAATTTAACCCTTTGACAATGATAGGTGAAAATTTTGTAAAGTAGCTGACATTTGTCGTACCAACTACGTCAAAATTCCCCAAAATTTTAAAAGTTGCCGTTTTTATTTAAAAATGGGGAAATAAGAAAAAAATGTATGCATAACCGTGCTAATCGGGCTTAATTGTGTTAATAAAACTGGTGTAATTTATGTTTTCAATGTTAGTAACCATTACAAATGTCACCGTTAAATACCTAACAAATGAAATTAATATTTTGGTTTGCATTTTTTTTAGTTTTCAGGTTCAAATTTTTCGATTTTTGAGCTTTTAAATTTTTTAATTTTTCCTTTTTTCAATCGTTTTTGATTTATTTACGTTCGTTTCTTCAGTTTTTATCGTTTTTTGGTTTTTTCAGATTTTCGTTTCTTCATTTTTCGAACTTCCAGTTTTTTGTTTCTTCAATTTTTCAATTTTTAATCTTTGAATTTTTTAATTTATTTAATTTCGTTTTTCAGTGTCTAAATTCCTCAAAATTGCGATTTTGATCGATTTCTTAGTTTCCGTTTTCTTCAACTTGTTTGATTTTCAGTTTTCTGATTTTTAATTTCATTTTTTTTATTTTTGAACCTTTTTTGGTTTTTTAAATTTTTGTTTTTCAACTTTTCAATTTTTCGATCTTTCAGTTTTTTGTTTCCTCAGTTTTTCGATTTACAATTTGTCGAGATTTCAATTTCAATTTTTTTGGTCTTCATTTTTCAAAACTTTTTGGTTTTTCGTTTCTGAATTTTTCGAGGTTTCAAGTTTATATTTTTGGCTTTGTATTTTTCGTTTCTTCAGTTTTTCGATTTTTCAATTTTTCGATCTTCTAGTTTTTTTGATTCTGCAAATCGATTTTACTAATTTTCAAGTTAAAATTTTTCACTTTCTCAATTTTTGAATCTTTTGATTTTGAAGATTTTCGTTTCTTCATCTTTCGAACTTCCAGTTTTTTGTTTCTTCAATTTTTCGATTTGTAGTTTTCAAGATTTCAATTTAAAATTCTTTAATTCTTTTTGTTTATTTCATTTTCAAAATTCGATTTTTCGGTTTTTGTTTCATTTTGAAAATGTTCTAGTTTTCAATTTAATTTTTTTTTTTAGTTTTCGTATCTCAACTTTTAGATTTTTCAATTTTTGAAGCTTTCAAGTTTTTGTTTCACTTTTTCGAGTTTTCCCAGTTAAATTTTAGATTTTTCAATTTTCCGAACCCTTAATTTCTGCTTTCTTCAACTTGTCGAATTTACAATTTCTCGATTTTTGAACTTTTAAATTTTTGGATTATTAAATTTTTTGTTGCTTCAATTTTTTAGTTTTTTAACTTTTGAATTTTTTACTTTTTAAATTTTTCGTTTCTTCAACTTTTCAATTTCTCGGTCTTCCAGTTTTTTGTTTCTTCCATTTTTTAGTTTACAATTTTTCAAGAATTCTATTTCAAATTTTATTTTTCAAATTTTGAATTTTTTGATTTATTTAATTTTTGTTTCCTCAATATTTAAATTCTTCAAAATTTCCGTCTTCTAGTTTTTTATTTCGATTTGGAATTTCTTGGTTTTTCGCTTCTCAATTTTTTAAACTTTCACGCTTTTGTTTCATCAATTTGTCGATTTTTCAACTTTTAGATCTTTTAGATTTTTGTTTGTTCAATTTTTCTAATTTTCGAGTTAATTTTTTTTCAGTTCTTTAATTGAATATTTTGATTTTTAAGTTTTTCGTTTCTTCAGCTTTTGAATTTTTCCATCTTCCAGTTTTTTGTTACCTCCATTTTCCGATTTGCAATTTTTCAAGATTTCAATTTAAAATTTTTTGATTTTTCAACCTTTGATTTTAATTTAGTTACTTTCCATTTCTTCAATATTTAAATTCTTCGAAATTTCGATTTTACAGTTTTTGATTTTGATTTGGAATTTCTTTGCTTTTCAATTTAAAATTTTTGTTTTTCTTTTCTCAATTTTTTAAACTTTCAGGCTTCTGTTTTTTCCATTCTTCGAGTTTTCAAGTGAAAATTTTTGGATTTTAAAAATTTTTCGTTTCAGTTTTTCGAATTTTCAATTTTTTTAGTTATTTTGTTTCTTTTTCTAGGTTTCAAGTTAAAATATTTCAGTTTTTTTTTGGTTTTCGACCTTTCAATTTTTCAAATTTTCGATCTTCCAGTTTTTTATTCCTTTTTTAGATTTAAGTTTCAGGTTTTTATTTCTTCAATTTTTCAAGTTTAAATTTTTGGATTTTTGAAAATTTTCGTTTCTTCAGTTTTCGATTTTTTAATTTTTCGATGTTCCAGTTTTTTGTTTCTTCCATTTTTCGGTTTGCAATTTCAAGATTTCAATTAAAAAATTTTTGATTTTTCGACCTTTGAATTTTTTGATTTATTTCATTTGATTTCTTCAGTAATTAAATTGTTCAAAATTTCGATTTTACAGTTTTTTCGATTTGGATTTTTTTTGGTTTTTTGTTCATCCATTTAAACTTTCAGGCTTTTGTTTCTTCAGTTTTTCGAATTTTCAAGTTTAAATTTTTGGATTTAAAAATTTGTCTTATTTACTTTTCGTTTCTTCAGTTTTTAAATTCTTCAAAATTCCGATTTTTCAGTTTTTGTTTCGATTTGCAAATTGTCTGGATTTTCAGTATAAAATTTTTTGGTTTTTCGTTTCCCAAATTTTAGAATTTTCAATTTCTTTAAACATTTAGGTTTTTATTTCTTCAATTTTTCGAGTTTTCAAGTTTAAATTTTTGGATTTTTGAAAATACATATTTCGTTTTTTCAGTTCTCGATTTTTCAATTTTTCGATGTTCGAGTTGTTTGTTTCTTCCATTTTTCGATTTGCAATTTAATTTTTTTTTATTTTTCGACCTTTGAGTTTTTTAATTTATTTAATTTCATTTCTCTAGTATTTAAATTGTTCAAAATTTCGATTTTACAGTTTTTTAGATTTGGATTTTTTTTTTGGTTTTTCGTTTCTCCATTTTTTAAACTTTCAGGCTTTTGTTTCTTCAGTTTTTCGAATTTTCAAATTTAAATTTTTGGATTTAAAAAATTTTCTTTTCTTTAGTTTTTCGATCTTCTAGTTTTTGTTTCTTCTTTTTTTCAAATTGCAATTTTTCTGGTTTTCAATTTAAAATTTTTCAGTTTTTCAAGTTTTGAATTTTCTGATTTTTATTTATTTTTGTTTTTTGTACCTTTCAATTTTTCAAATTTTCGATCTTCCAGTTTTTTGTTTCTTCAATTTTTCGATCTGAATTTTTTCAAGGTTTCAATTTAAATTTTTTTGGTTTTTCAACATTTGAATTTATTGATGTATTTACTTTTCGTTTCTTCAGTTTTTAAATTCTTCAAAATTCCGATTTTTCAGTTTTTATTTCGATTTGCAAATTTTCTGGGTTTCAGTATAAAATTTTTTGGTTTTTCGTTTCTCAAATTTTAGATTTTTCAATTTTGTAAGCGTTCATGTTTTTTTATTTCTTCAATTTTTCGAGTTTTCAAGTTTAAATTTTTGGATTTTTGAAAATTTTCGTTTCTTCAGTTTTCGATTTTTCAAATTTTTCGATGTTCCAGTTTTTTGTTTCTTCCATTCTTCGATTTGCAATTTCAAGATTTCAGTTTTAAAATTATTGATTTTTCGACCTTTGAATTTTTTGATTTATTTAATTTCATTTCTTCAGTATTTAAATTGTTCAGAATTTCGATTTTATAGTTTTTTCGATGTGGATTTTTTTTTGGTTTTTCGTTTCTTCATTTTTTTAAACTTTCAGGCTTTTGTTTCTTCAGTTTTTCGAATTTTCAAGTTTAAATTTTTGGATTTAAAAATTTGTCTTTTCTTTAGTTTTTCGAGCTTCAATTTTTTTGTTTCTTCTTTTTTTCAAATTGCAATTTTTCTGGTTTTCAAGTTAAAATTTTTCAGTTTTTCAAGTTATGAATTTTCTGATTATTTTTTGATCTGAAATTTTTCAAGGTTTCAATTCAAATTTTTTTGGTTTTTCAACATTTGAATTTATTGATGTATTTACTTTTCGTTTCTTCAGTTTTTAAATTCTGCAAAATTCCGATTTTTCATTTTTTGTTTCTATTTGCAAATTTTCTGGGTTTTCAGTATAAAATTTTTTGGATTTTCGTTCCTCAAATTTTAGATTTTTCAATTTTTAAACTTTCAGGTGTTTATTTCTTCAAGTTTTCAAGCTTAAATTTTTGGATTTTTGAAAATTTTCGTTTCTTCAGTTTTCGATTTTTCAATTCTTCGATGTACTAGTTTTTGATTTCTTCTATTTGACCTTTGAATTTTTTTATTTATTTAATTTTATTTCTTCCGTATTTAAATTCTTCAAAATTTCGAATTTACAGTTTTTTCGATTTGGATTTTTTTTGGTTTTTCGTGTCCCCATTTTTTAGGCTTTCAGGCTTTTGTTTCTTCCATTTTTCGAATTTTCAAGTTTAAATTTTTGAATTTTCTTTAGTTTTTCGATCTTCTAGTTTTTTTTTTTCAAGTTTTGAATTTTCTGTTTTTCAATTTTGTGTTTCTTCCACTTTTAAATGTTCGATCTTCCAGTTTTTTGTTTCTTCAACAAATTTTCGATCTGAAATTTTTCAAGATTTCAATTTTAAATCTTGATTTTTCAATCTTCGAATTTATTGATGTATTTACTTTTCGTTTCTTCAGTTTTTGTTTGGTTTTACATTTTATAAGCTTTCATTTTTATTTCTTCAATTTTTCGAGTTTTCAAGTTTCAATTTTTGTATATTTTCTTTAATTTTTCAAATTGCAATTTTTCTAATTTTCATTATTTTTCTTTTCTTCAATTTTTGAATTTTTCCATCTTCAAGTTTTTTGTTTCTTCCAATTGTCGATTTGCAATTTTTCAAGATTTCAATTTAAATTTTTTTGATTCTTCAATCTTTGATTTTTTTATTTATTTACTTTTACAGTTTTTTATTTTGATTTGGAATTTCTCTGCTTTTCAATTTAAAATTTTTGGTTTTTCGTTTCTCATTTTTTTAATCTTTCAGGCTCCTGTTTCTTCCATTTTTCGAGTTTTCAAGTGTAAATTTTTGGATTTTTAAAATTTTAGGTTTCTTCAGTTTTTAGAATTTTCAATTTTCTGTTTTTTCTACTTTTAAATTTTTCAAATTTTCGATCTTCCAGTTTTTTTATTTCTTCAATTTTTCGATCTGAAGTTTTTCAAGGTTTCAATTTAAATTTTTTTGCTTTTTCAACATTTGAATTTATTGATGTATTTATTTTTCGTTTCTTCAGTTTTTAAATTCTTCAAAATTCCGATTTTTCAGTTTTTGTTTGGATTTTTTTTTCTGGGTTTTCAGTATAACATTTTTTGGTTTTTCGTTTCTCAAATTTTAGATTTTTCGATTTTTTAAATTTTCATATTTTTATTTCTTCAAGTTAAAATTTTTGGATTTGTGAAAATTTTCGTTTCTTCAGTTTTCGATTTTTCAAATTTTCGATGTTTCAGTTTTTTGTTTCTTCCATTTTTCAATTTGAAGTTTAAAAATTTTTGATTTTTCGACCTTTGAATTTTTTGATTTATTTAATTTCAATTCTTCAGTATTTAAATTGTTCAAAATTTCGATTTTACAGTTTTTGTTTCGATTTGCAAATTTTCTACGTTTTCAGTATAAAATTTTTTGGTTTTTCGTTTCTCAAATTTTATATTTTTCAATTTTTTTAAACATTCAGTTTTAGATTTTGCAATTTCAAGATTTCAATCTAAAAATGTTTGATTTTTCGACCTTTGAATTTTTTGATTTATTTAATTGAATTTCCTCAGTATTTAAATTGTTCAAAATTTCGATTTTACAGTTTTTTCGATTAAGATTTTTTTTGGTTTTCCGGTTATCCATTTTTTAAATTTTCAGGCTTTTGTTTCTTTAGTTTTTCGAATTTTCACGTTTAAATTTTTGGATTTAAAAATTTTTCTTTTCTTTAGTTTTTCGATCTTCTAGTTTTGTGTTTCTTCTTTTTTTCAAATTGCAATTTTTCTTGTTTTCAAGTTAAAATTTTTCAGTTTTTCAAGTTTTGAATTTTCTGATTTTTTTTTGTTTTTTCGATCTGAAATTTTTCAAGGTTTCAATTTAAATTTTTTTGGTTTTTCAACATTTGAATTTATTGATGTATTTACTTTTCGTTTCTTCAGTTTTTAAATTTTTCAAAATTCCGATTTTTTAGTTTTTGTTTCGATTTGCAAATTGCCTGGGTTTTCAGTTTTTAGTATAAAATTTTTTGGTTTTTCGTTTGTCAATTTTAGATTTTACAATTTTTTACACATTCAGGTTTTTATTTCTTCAATTTTTCATTCAAGTTTTGAATTTTTGATTTTCAATTTTGTGTTTCTTCTACTTTTAAATGTTCGATCTTCCAGTTTTTTGTTTCTTCAATAATTTTTTGATCTGTTTACTTTTCGTTTCTTCCGTTTTTTGTTTGGTTTTCCATTTTTTATTTCTTCAATTTTTCGAGATTTCAAGTTTAAATTTTTGTATTTTTTTCTTTAATTGTTCAAATTGCAATTTTTCTAATTTTGATTATTTTTCGTTTCTCAATTTTTAGATTCGTTGAACTTTCAGAATTTCTGATTTTTGAGTTTCACGGTTTTTGGTTTTTCAGTTTTAAATCAAGAGTTTAAAAATGGAGAAAAAAGAGCGAAGTAGAAAAAATTGTAAAATATACACCTTTCATAAGATATTTTAGCTCACTCATTCATGTCCTAAAACAGTGTTTTATGATTGAAAAAAAAAAATGTCGTTTAGTCAGCTATGGAATTAATTTTAAGCCGTCATACTTCCATAACCTCAAAACCGATGACTAATTTTTTCCGCCCCGCCCAGGAGCCGTATCTTCCGGTGATCCTTCACCCTCCCACACCCCTTCCGCCGCCATGAAGTCCGACTACCAGGTGTCGAACTCGTCCATCGTCGACTACAACAACGGCAGCATCAAGAACCACAAGGTCAAGAGCAGCCGAAAGAAACTGGGCACCGGAGTAGGTCGAGGCAGGCCTCGCAAGGCTCTGGTCGCCATGTACCACAGTCAGATAAGCGGCGACAAGAACACCATCAAGATCCGAATTAAGAAGAGCAACCTCACGGCGCAAGTCCAGCTCCAACCAAATAAAAAGAAAAGCGGTCGACGGAAAAAACAGAAAGCCACGTCCGACACGGACGTGAGCGACTACGAATACAACAACGTTAAGAAGAGTAGAGCGAGCAGCGACAATGACGTGGTGACAAGTACTCAGGATCAGGAACCTCAGGAGCAGAGCGTGTGGGGCGAACATATCCCTGAGCATATTTTGTACAAAATTTTTCAGAACGTGTGCGTTCAGGACGGGTGCTTACCGAATTTAGTGAGGTACGAGTCTGATGGTTTGTAAGGTACGAGCTCACGGTTGAGGTTGCAGATTGTGTAGGGTGTGTAAGTTGTGGCGGAACGTGGCTTTGACTCCGTCGCTGTGGAATAAGGTCGACTTGAACTACGTCAAGGAGCCGTTCAGGACGGACTTGCAGTTGCACTGGCTCATCTACAACCGGCTGGCGTGTTGTCAGGATTTAAATTTAGGTAAGTTGCTGGCGACTGCGCCACTTTAGCAAACACGTGTGCAATGAATCGTGAACAGGTGAATGGAAGGTTCGTGATATACAAATCGCAATTGAGGCTCTCTGCGCGCACTGTCCTAACCTACAAGGCATCAATCTGAGCGGCTGGAAGGGACTGAACGCCGACAATTTGAAATATCTGACAACGGAAAGCAAGAAGTTGGAGAGATTGGATTTGTCGTCAATTAACGTAGGTGGCGACGACTGGTTTAAGACGAGGTTTTTATAGCTTGTTTCAGTCTACTTCGGCAATTAATTCGCAACCATTGGTGGCTCTGGGGCAGACCATGAGCAGCCGCTTAACTCACTTGGTTCTAGCTCACAACAAAATGGCGGGTTTTACACAGATCATGGCGTCAATTGCTGTAAGGAACGCAATGTCGTTGCGACAGAGTAATTACAAGTTTTTTTTGTTATAGACAAACTGTCCGAATCTTCAGCTTTTGGACATTTCGAATATTCGAACGTTTGCTCACAACAGCGCTCTGCTTCATGTCGAGAAGCTACAAATCGGTTGTCCGAAATTGCGGGTGTTGCGCATTACTAATAGTCAGATTTGGTTGGCTCCTGCTAGTTTAACGGAACAGGTAGGGTGGTGCTCGGTTGGAGTGTGCATTTTTTTTTGTTTTTTTAATAAACGTAGGTGGCCTCCCCTGGTTTCCCTCTTTTGGAAGAATTGTCTCTGGCGGGATTGGAAGAGGATCAGACGACCACTTCCAGGTCCGTGGACGACGACGGAATTGAAAGGATCCTAAAAAATAGTACAAAACTTCGTTTATTAGATGTTAGGGGATGTATCCGGCTGACCGATTCTGGATTGGTTAAAGTGCCAGCTTGGGACCTGGAACATCTCTTTTTGAGTGGTGAGTTCCTTCTAGACGTACGTCGATCAGAGTGTTTGGAGTAGATAAATTGTGGCGCTGACGTCACGATTGTGGCGCCAAATTCAAAATTTATTAAAAACTTTGCTTATGTTCGGAAAAATAAGCGAAACTTATATATTTTAATTAACGATTCACGATTCTGGTTTTTTTTTTCCAAAAATCTGAGTAAAAACTCAAGACGGATTCATAAACCACAAGTGCAAGAGCATGTGGTTAAGAAAAATTTAAACAGTATTTACTTTTTAATATGTATTTCATTTCTTCAATTTTTCGATTGTTGATTTTTATTTTTTCGTTTTTTCAGATTTTAGATTTTTAATTTTTCGACCTCAGTTTCCGCTTTCTTCAATTTGTTTATTTGAATTTTTTCTAGTTTTCGATTTTAAATTTTTCATTTCATCAATTTTTTCAAGATTTCAATTTCAATCTTTAATTTAGTTTAAAATTTTTTGCCTTGTCGTTTCTGTAGTTTTAAAATTCTTGAAATTTTCAATTTTTTGGGTTTTTCTTGAATCTGCTAGTTCTTCTAGTTTTGATTTACATTTTTTTATTTTCCAAGTTTTGTTTTTAATTTTTTAATTTTTCGTTTCGTCAGTTTTTTGAGTTTTCTTTCTTCTAGTTTTATGTTCTTCAATTTTTCAAATTGTGATTTTTCTAATTTTCAATTAAAATTTCTCAGTTTTTCACTCCTTGAACTGTTTGATTGTCTTTTGTTTCTTCCATTTTTCAACATTTCAATTTCAATTATTTTTATTTTTCAAGGTTTGAATTTTCAATGCTGCAAGTCGGAAAATTGTAGAACCAAAAAATTGAAAAATCGAAAAATTGCAAATCAGAAAATCGTAAAAATCTAGAAATTGAAAAATCGAAAACGAAAAATTAAAACGTAAATTTGAAAATGGATAAATTGTTATCTAAAAATGCAAGAAATGAAAAATTTAAAACTCGAAAAATGAATAATCGAAAAATTCAAAAGTCGAAAATTTAAGTGAAAACTTAAGAGATTAATAAATTGAAAAATTTTAAATTTGAAAAAAGTAATAATAAAAATCACACAATTAAAAAATTGAAAAATCGAAAATTTCAATGAATGCTCGAAAAATTGAAGAAACGAAAAATAAATAAGTTAAAAAATTCAAAAGTTGAAAAATATTAAATTTTCAAATCGAAAACTTCGAAAAATGCAAATAGAAAAATTGAATAGACAAAAAATTTTGAAAATCAAAAAAATTGAAACATCGAAAAACGGGAAAATGAAAATTTTGAAGAATTTAAAAATTGAAGAAACCAAAAATAAATAAGTCAAAAAATTCAAATCGAAAAATTGAAGAAACAAAAACCACAAGATCGAAAAAGTGAAGAAACGAAAAATAAAAAATCCAAAAATTCAAAACTTGAAATATCAAAAAATTTTAAATTGAAAACTGGAAGGAAAGCAGAAGGTCGAAAAATTGAAAAATCTAAAATTTGAGAAAACAAAAAATTAAAAATCAATAAATTTTAAATTGTAATCTTAAAAAAATGCAAATCAAACAATTGAAGAACCAAAAATTTCAAAAACTGAAAAATTTTAACTTGAAAATTTGAAAAATTGGAGAAATAAAGAACTAGAAGATCACAAAATTGAAAAATCGAAAAACTGAAGAAACGAAAAATGAAAAATTAAACACTAGAAAAAATTGCAAAGCTGAAAAATGAGAAAATTGAATTTCAAAATTGAAAGAACGAAAAGTAATTAAGTCAAAAAATTCAAAGGTTGAAAAATATAAAAATTCCTAATTGAAATCTTGAAAAAATTCAAATCCAAAAACTGAAGAAACAACTGAACAATCGAAAAATTGATGAAACGAAAATTGAAAAATCTAAAATTTGAAGAAACAAAAAATTAAAAATTAATTTAAAATTGAAATCTTGAAAAAATGCAAATCGCAAAATTGAAATGTCCAAAAATTGAAGAAACAAAATACATATTTAAAAGCCAAAAAATTCAAAAGCTGAAAAATTGCAATTAAAAAAAATTGCAAATTTAAAAAAAATGGAAAATGAAAATTTTGAAGAATTTAAAAATTGAAGAAACGAAAAGTAAATGAGTCAAAAAATTAAAAGGTTGAAAAATATAAAAATTCTAAATTGAAATCTTGGAAAAATTCAAATCGACAAATTGAAGAAATAAAAAAAAAATTAAAAACTAGAAAAAAATTGCAGATTTAAACAAAAACTGAAAAGTCAAAAATTTGAAGAATTTAAAAATTGAAGAAACGGAAAGTAAATGAGTAAAAAATTAATAGGTTGAAAAATATATAAATTCCAAATTGAAGAAATAAATTTAAAAAACGAAAAGTTTCCACATTGGACATTAAAAAAATTGCAATTTGAAAAATTGAATAAACAAAAGTGTTCTTCACTTTTGTTTATTCAAAAACACAAAAAACTAGAAGATCGAAAAAGTGAAGAAACGAAAAATAAAAAATCCAAAAATTCAAAACTTGCAAGATCGAAAAATTTTAAATTGAAAACAGGAAGGAAAACAAATCAAAAAATTAAAGAAATCGGAAACTGAGAGGTCGAAAAATTGAAAAATCGAAAAACTGGAGAAACAAAAAATGCAAAAATTTTCGATTGAAAACTAGAAAAAATTGCAAACTTAAACAAAAAACTGAAAAATAAAAAAAGTTGAATTTCAAAATTGAAAAAATTAAAAGTGAATGAGTTGAAAAATTACAAGGTTGAAAAATATAAAAATTCCAAATTGAAATCTTTTTGAAAGAATTCGAATCGAAATATTGAAGAAACAACTGAAAAATCGAAAAGTTGATGAAATGAGAATTGAAAAATCAAAAATTTAAAGAAACAAAAAATTAAAAATTTCAAATTGGAATCTTGAAAAAGTGTAAATCGAAAAATTGAAAAATCCAAAAATTGAAGAAACGAAATATTTAAAAATCGAAAAAGCTGAAAAATTGCAAATGGAAAAATTTCTAAATTAAAAAAAGCTGGAAAATGAAAATTTTGAAGAGACGAAAAGTAAATAAGTCAAAAAATTAAAATGTTGAAAAATTTAAAAATTCTAAATTGAAATCTTGGAAAAGTTCAAACCGATAAATGGAAAACTAGAATATCGAAAAAGTGAAAAAACGAAAATTAAATACCCAAAAATTCAAAACTTGAAATATCGAAAAATTTGAAATTGAAATCTGGAAAGAAAGCAAATCAAAAAACTGAAGAGCTGAAACTGAGGTCGGTCGAAAAATTGAAAAATATAAAATTTGAACAAACAAAAAATTAAAAATCAATAAATTTTAAACTGAAATCTTAAAAAATGTAAATCAAACAATTGAAGAACCAAAAAATTCAAAAGCTGAGATTTTAACCTGAAAATTTGAAAAACTGAAAAATCTAAAAAGTGAAGAAACGAAAAATAAAAAACCAAAAATTGAAAATTGGAAAGAAGCTAATCAAAAAATCGAAGAGTTGAAACAGAGGTAAAAACATTGAAAAATCTAAAATATGAATAAATTAAAAAAAAGTTAAACTGAAATCTTCAAAAAATGCAAATCGAAAAATTGAAAAACCAAAAAATTCAAAATGTGAAAAATTGAAGAAATAAAGAACTAGAATATCAAAAATTGATAAATCTAAAAATGAAAACATTCTAAATTAAAAACTAGAAAAAAATTGCAAATTTAAACAAAAAACTGACTAGTCAAAAATTTGAAGAATTTAAAAATTGAAGAAACGAAAAGTAAATGAGTCAAAAAATTAAAAGGTTGAAAAATATATAAATTCCAAATTGAAGAAATAAATTTAAAAAACGAAAAGTTTTTGGACATTTGAAAAATTGAAGAAACAAAAAACTAGAAGATCGAAAAAGTGAAGAAACGAAAACTAAAAAATCCAAAAATTCTAAACTCGAAAGATCGAAAAATTTGAAATTGAAAACTGGAAAGAAAACAAATCAAAAAATTGAATAAATCAGAAACTGAGAGGTCGAAAAATCCAAAACCTGGAGAAATGAAAAGTGAAAAAAATTTTAAATTGAAAGCTAGAAAAAATTGCAAATTCAAACAAAAAACTGAAAAATCAAAAATTTGAAGAACATAAAAATTGAAGAAACGAAAAGTAAATGAGTCAAAAAATTCAAATCGAAATATTGAAGAAACAACTGAAAAATCGAAAAGTTGATAAACCAAACAATTCAAAAGCTGTAAAATTTTAACGTGAAAATTTGAAAAATTGAAGAAACAAAGAACTAGATGATCACAATATTGAAAAAATGAAAAACTGGAGAAACGAAAAATGAAAAAATTTTAAATTGAAAACTAGAAAAAAATTGCAGATTTAAACAAAAACTGAAATAAAAAATTTGAAGAATTTAAAAATTGAAAAAACGAAAAGTAAATGAGTAAAAAAATTGAAAGGTTGAAGAATATAAAAATTCCAAATTGAATTCGAAAAATTGAAGAAACAACTGAAAAATCGAGCAGTTGATGCAACGAAAATTGAAAAAATCCAAAAATTGAAACGATATGCTTACAAAAAAAAGTAGAAAAATTTCAAATTTAAAAAAAAACTGGAAAATGAATATTTTGAAGAATTTAAAAATTGAAGAAACGAAAAGTAAATAAGTCAAAAAATTGAAAGGTCGAAAAATATAAAAATTCCAAATTGAAATCTTGGCAAAATTGAAATCGACAAATTGAAGAAACAAATCTAAAAAACGAAAGTTAGAAAGTTAGAGCTAGAAAATGAGAAGAATTGCAATTTGAAAAATTGAAGAAATAAACTAGATGCTCGAAAAAGTGAAGAAACGAAAAATAAAAAATCCAAAAAATGAAGAAACGACATATTTAAAAATCAAAAAATTCAAAAGCTGAAAAATTTAACCGTAAAAATTAGAAAAATTGAAGAAATAAAGAACTAGAAGATCAAAAAATTGAAAAATCGAAAAGCTGAAGAAACGAAAAATGAAAAATAAAATATTTGAAGAATTTAAAAACTGAAGAAACAAAAAGTGTGTCAAAAAATTAAAACGATGAAAAATACAAGAATTCCAAATTGAAATCTCGGAAAAATTCAAATCGAATAATTAAGGCAACAAACAACTGGAAAAGCGAAAAGGTGAAGAAACGAAAAATTTTAAAAACGTAAAACTAGATGAGCCAAAAATTGAAACATTGAAAAAGTGATGAAACGAAAAACAAAAAATCCAAAAATTCAAAATCGAACAATTTGAAATTGAAAACTAAAATCAAGCAAATTAAAAAATTAAAAATAAAAGAATTTGACATTGAAAAAGATGCAAATCGAATTAAACATCAAAAAATAAAAAAATCGAATTTATCAATTTTTTTTTTTTTGTGAAATTTTGAGATGACGTCATCAAATTTTGTGGTGCATTTAAATTGGCATTCAGAGGATAGAGGCAAGTGAAGTTTCCGCAAATCCGGTAATTTACGTCGTTTAATTAACTTTGTGATGGAACTTGACATTATTTATAATTATAATTATAATTGTTGTCCATTATGCGTCAACTGGCGACATCTATGTGACGTAACCCACTAGGGTTTTTCATTTTAACCAACATAAATCAACCCATTATTTAGGCCGCCTTACTTTTTCCAGCCTGTTACATAACGCGAACCCAAAACTCCGGCCTGGAGTTGATCGTACAAAAGTGGAGCCACAGTTTACTGGAGGTGGACTTGGCTTGGTCCACCGCCACGTCATCTCTCGACGCCGCCGTCACGGCTTTGGCCGAAAAGGGTTTCGAGTCGAAACTGAGGTGAGTAATCCAAAAACGCAAATCCCGTCGAAGTTCCGCCTCAGAGCAACCGAATCACGGCCTGATTTTGCAGGATCGTGAACCTGTGTGGGTCCTCGGTGAGTTTAGAGCCCGTCAAAGCCGTTTTGATGAATTGCCCTAATTTGCATTCCATTAATTTGCAATCGTGCCGGGCACTACCCAGGGGAATAAAGAGGTTATATACAGGGGATGCTGTCCAGGAACTCAAACAGAGTTTGCAAAATAGGCCAAAGAACGACGTCAGCGAGTCGGAGAACGAACAGTCGCCAGCTCATCCTATCGCAGCTGTTGAATAGTTTGTTATTGTGCTTTTTAAAGAGTAAAGTACGAAGTGTGATCAAATGATCTAAAAAGTAGCTGTCAATTAAAGTAGTTCGGTGTCTTTTTTACAAGTACAGCGTGGGTTTGTTTGCAAGTTGCGGCTCTCTCATTCACAAGCATTTAAAGGGACCAATAGTTGCGATTTCCACGGGCAGTTCCTGACGATGACAAACGAAACAGTTCAATCCACACTCAAACCAGAATCTCGGAAATGGGAGAGGGTCGACTCAAATGAGGCCGGCTGTGTAAGCAAGCAATAAAACAAGTGATTTGACGGCGTCTTTTGTTTGACAAAAGCCATATATGACGACTCTGATTTGATCACAGTTCGGTCTAAAATAGAATACTTTAATATAAAATTTATAAATATTTATTATATATACATTGTATAAAAATGTACGATAATTGTCTGGATATTTTCAAGTTGGATATCTTATTTTGAATAATTTAGATGAATACTTTACTAATTTAATACAGGTTATCGAGTGTACAAAGTATTTTATTAAAATTCCTTGTTAGGGCTAAATTATTGTCTATGTAAAGGATTTAAGAAAAAATATTAGAGGAGAAACCAGTTGGCCGTTTTTATTTGTTGTTGTTCCCCTGTCGACGAGATTCTAAATCCGGCAGGTGAGTATTGTTGTGATAGTTTGTTTTAGTTGCACTTTTTTATTACATTAGTAAAGTATTTGATTCCACAGTTGGTATTCATCGCTGAATACCAACTGTCGAAGCCACTTTTCCTGTCTATACGTAAATCATTGAACACCAATCAAAGTGTACAACTTGGCGGAACTAAATACACCGACTTATATGCACCATTTTTTTTCCCTTTTTTTTTTCTGTTTGTTTAAGTTGTTACGAACGCACATTGTGTGTGTTACTTAGGCGAAATAAAACCTCTGTGCGACTTTTGTTGGGATCGTTTTTAGTGAACTGTATTTTATTATCATAGATTGTGTACCTAATGTGTATGTCTATATTAGATCAAAACTTATATTGTATTTCTAATTATGTTAACTGTTTTGTAACAATAAAAAGGTTTCGTTATTTTTACAACATTATTACGCACTTTACCACCATGGGTAGCTAAAATCGGGCGTCCGCTGCGCCCCCTAGGGTCGATTCTACTGAAATACTACTAAACCTGTAAGAATTGCGAGTCCACGAGGTTATGAATCTAGCCGCAGTTGTATCAATCGAGATTTCAATTGTTCAATTCATTTTTAATTTTTCGTTTGGGCTACTTAGATTTCTAGACCCTTTCATTTTTGAATTTCTCGATTTTTCAATTTTTCTACATTTTAAATTGGCTTTTTCAGTTTTTCGACTTTTTTAACTTTGGATTTTTCAATTTTTTGATGTTTCGATTTCTCGGTCCGTCTATTATTCGACTTCTCTATTTTAGAATTTTCAATTTTTCGATACTTCAATTTCTCCATTTTAAAATTTTTTAATTCTTCGATTTCTCGATATTTTAATTTAAATTTTGATTCTTTCGATTTCTCGATATTTCAATCCTTCGATTTTTCAAGTTTTTGGTTTTTGAAATTTTAGTATTTTGATTTAATTTCTCAAAAAATGTACCATTTTTATGCATTTTTTTTTTCTTGTCATGATGAGAAAACTACGTACATATATTAACAAAAAAAAGCAAAACACAAAGCCCGCCCACCCTCCCTCGTCTAAATTGTGACTTTTTTTATTCGTCGTGAGCCGGGGGGCGGAGCTTAATTACAAAATGCTTATTTCTCCACAAGAATCGACCACGTGAAACATGTTTTAAGTATCATGTTGTTGAAAGAAAACTACGTATGTCAAGAAAAAAAGCCTTACCCGCCCGCACCAACCTCAAATGTCATGAATTTTTCATTCGTTGTCGGAGCGAGGGGCGGAGCTTAATTGTAAAATCAAAATTTACCATTTGGTACGGCTTGTGTCACCGACAGCTTCCCTTTTTCATATTTTTTTGATCTTCTATTTATTTTAACGTTAAAATTTTTCAACTTTTGAATTTTTTGGTATTTCAATTTTTCGATTTGCATTTTTTTAAGATTCCAATTTAAAATTTATTGATTTTTAATTTTTTGTTTGTTCAAATTTCAGATTTTTCAATTTTTCGACCTACTTCAGTTTTAGTTCTTCAATTTTTCGATTTGCATTTTTTCAAGATTTCAATTTCAAATTATTTATTTTTTACTTTTTGTTTTTTCAAATTTTAGATTTTTGAATTTTCGTTCCATCAACTTTTCGATTTTTCAGTTATTTCTTCAATTTTTCGATTCGAATTTTGTCAAGATTTCAATTTTGAATTTTTATTTTTTGACTTATTTACTTTTCGTTTCTTCAATCTTTAAACTCTGCGAATTTTTGATTTTTCAGCTTATTGTTTAAATTTGCACTTTTTTAATTTTTTTCATATTTTTTGATCTTCTATTTAATTTAACGTTAAAATTTTTCAACTTTTGAATTTTTTGGTTTTTCAATTTTTCGATTTGCATTTTTTTAAGATTCCAATTTAAAATTTATTGATTTTTAATTTTTTGTTTGTTCAAATTTTAGATTTTTCAATTTTTCGACCTACCTCAGTTTTAGTTCTTCAATTTTCTTATTTGCTTTCTTTCCAGTTTTCAATTTTTCGATTTGCATTTTTTCAAGATTTCAATTTCATTTTTTTTCTTTTTAATTTTTTGTTTTTCCAAATTTTAGATTTTTGAATTTTCGTTCCATCAACTTTTCGATTTTTTAGTAATTTCTTCAATTTTTCGATTTGAATTTTGTAAAGATTTCAATTTGGAATTTGTATTTTTTGACTTTACTTTTCGTTTCTTCAATTTTTAAACTCTTCAATTTTTTTATTTTTCAGCTTATTGTTTAAATTTGTAACTTTTTTAAATTTTTTCATTTTTTTTTCTTCTATTTAATTTAACGTTAAAATTTTTCAACTTTTGAATTTTTTGGTTTTTCAATTTTTCGATTTGCATTTTTTTAAGATTCCAATTTAATTTTTTGTTATTCAAATTTTAGCTTTTTCAATTTTTCGACTGAGCTCAGTTTTAGTTCTTCAATTTTTTGATTTGCTTCCTTTCCTGTTTCCAATTTTAAATTTTTCGATATTTCAAGTTTCGAATTTTTGGATTTTTTATTTTTCGTTTCTTCACGTTTTCGATTTGAATTTTTTCAAGATTTCAGTTTGGAAGTTTTATATCTTTTAAACTTTTAATTTTTTGACTCATTTACTTTTCGTTTCTTCAATTTTTAATTGTTCAAATTTTTGATTTTTTAGCTTTCAATTTCGAATTTTTTCATTTTTCGTTTCTCCAGTTTTTCAATTTTTCGATTTGTGTTTTCTTAAGATTTCGACCTTAAATTTTTTGTTTTTCCAAATTTTAGATTTTTCAATTTTTCGACCGACCTCAGTTTCAGTTCTTCAATTTGTTGATTTACTTTCCAGTTTTCCATTTCAAATTTTTCAATCTCTGAAGTTTTTGAATTTTTGGATTTTTATTTTTCGTTTCTTCACTTTTTCGATATTTTAGTTTTCAATTTATCGGTTTGAATTTTTCCAAGATTTCAATTTAGAATCTTTATATTTTTCAACGTTTTAATTTTTTGACTTATTTACTTTTCGTTTCTTCAAAATTTTCATTTTCCGGTTTTTTTTTTTTAATTTAGAAATTTTTCCATTTGCAATTTTTCAGCTTTTTCGATTTTTAAATATTTCGTTTCTTCAATTTTTTGTTTCTTTAAATTTTTGATTTTTCAGTTTTCATTTCATCAACTTTTCGATTTTTCAATATTTCGATTTGAATTTTTTTCAAGAAGATTTCTATTTGGAATTTTTATATTTTTCAACCTTCATCTCAATTGTCACTTTTTTTATTCGTCGTCAGCCGAGGGGCGGAGCTTAATTACAAAGTGCTTATTTCTCCACAAGAGTCTACCACGTGAAACACGTTTTAAGTATCATGTTGTTAAAAGAAAACTATGTATGTCAAGAAAAAAAGCCCCACCCGTCCGCCCCAGCCTCAAATGTGATGAATTATTCATTCGTTGTCGGAGCGAGGGGCGGAGCTTAATTGTAAAATCAAAATTTCCGACAAAAATTTACCATTTTCAATACGTTTTTAACTATTTTGTGAAAATGCGATTACGTATCTACAGAAAAAAAGGCTAAACTTAAGCCCCGCCCCTCCTGACTGACGACGAATAAGGAAAAACCGTCACAATTGAGATAGGGCGGGTGGGTGGGGTTTATGTTTTTCAATTTTGTTTTCTTTATACAATTAGTTTTCTTTTCACAACAAGAAACTGAAAACATGTTTAAAATGGTCAATTCTATGCCCCACATTTCTCTAAAAATGTACCATTTTTAAACATTATGTACATATATTAACAAAGAAGCGCAAAATACCAACCCCGCTCACCCGTCCTCGTCTCAATTGTGACTTTTTTTATTCATAGTGAGCCAAGGGGCGGAGGTTAATTACAAAATGATTATTTCTCCACAAGAATCTACCACGTGAAACATGTTTTAAGTATCATGTTATTGAAAGAAAACTATGTATGTCAAGAAAAAAAGCCCCACCCGCCCTCCCCAACCTCAAATGTGATGAATTTGTCATTCGTTGTCGGAGCGAGGGGCGGAGCTTAATTGTAAAATCAAAATTTCCAGACAAAAATTTACCATTTTCAATTTGTTTTTAACTATTTTGTGACAATGCGATTACGTATCTACAGAAAACAAGGCTAAACTTAAGCCCCGCCCCTCCTGACTCACGACGAATAAGGAAAAATCGTCACAATTGGGATAGGGTGGGTGGGTGGGGCTTGTGTTTTCAATTTTTTTTTCTTTATACAATTAGTCTTCTTTTCACAACAAGAAACTGAAAACATGTTTAAAATGGTCAATTTTATGCCCCACATTTCTCTAAAAATGTACCACTTTTAAGCATATTTTTTGTTTTTGTCATGAAAAGAAAACGGCGTACATATATTAACAAAGAAAAGCAAAATACAAACCCCACCCACCCGCCCTCGTCTCAATTGTGACTTTTTTATTCGTCGTGAGTCGAAGGGCGGAGCTTAATTGCAAAATGCTTATTTCTCCACAAGAATCGACCACGTGAAACACGTTTTAAATATCATGTTGTTGAAATAAAACTACGTATGTCAAGAAAAAAAGCCACACCCTCCCGCCCCATCCTCGAATGTGATGAATTTTCCATTCGTTGTCGGAGCGAGGGGCGGCGCTTAATTGTAAAATCAAAATTTCCCGACAAAAATTTACCATTTTCAATACGTTTGTAACTATTTTGTGAAAATGCGATTACGTATCTACAGAGAAAAAGGCTAAATTTAAGCCTCGCTCCTCCTGACTCACGACGAATAAGGAAAAATCGTCACAAACGAGATAGGGTGTGTGGGAGGGGCTTATGTTTTTCAATTTTTTTTCTTTATACAATTAGTCTTCTTTTCACAACAAGAAACTGAAAACATGTTTAAAATGGTCAATTTTATGCTCCACACTTGTCTAAAAATGTACCATTTTTAAGCATTGTGTACATATATTAACAAAGAAAAGCAAAATACAAACCCCGCCCACCCGCCCTCGTCCCAATTGTGACTTTTTTTATTCGTCGTGAGCCGAGAGGCAGAGTTTAATTACAAAATGCTTATTTCTCCACAAGAATCGACCACGTGAAACACGTTTTAAGTATCATGTTGTTGAAAGAAAACTACGTATGTCAAGAAAAAAAGCCCAACCTCAAATGTGATGAATTTTTCATTCGTTGTCGGAGCGAGGGGCGGAGCTTAATTGTAAAATCAAAATTTCCCGACAAAAATTTACCATTTTCAATACGTTTTTAACTATTTTGTGAAAATCCGATTACGTATCTACAGAAAAAATAGGCTAAATTTAAGCCCCGCCCCTCCTCACACACGACGAATAAGGAAAAGTCGTCACAATTGAGATAGGGCGGGTGGGTGGGGCTTACGTATTTCAATTTTCTGTCTTTATACAGTTAGTCTTCTTTTCACAACAAGAAACTGAAAAC